GGATTATGTCATTGTCTGGCTCTCTGTCGACGCGTCGGGCCGCGCGCTCAGCCACTATCTCGAATTCCTCGTCTTCGAGATGTGACGCAAAATTGGAAATCTGCAGTTCCAGGCTATCGGCGAAAGCCTCGGCCTTTTCCTGGTTCGTGTAAACCACCCCCACACTATATATATAAAAAAAATAACTTTTTAAATGAACGATAGCTTCATTTATTTATTTAATAATAGTAAAATAATTCCGAAATTGAAATTTTAATTAATATTTCGTTTAACAATTTTTGACATATTTGTAAATTAAAAAAAATTAAGTATAAAAGATGCATTTTTTCTGGGGTTCAGGGCTATTCTACGAATTCGTAAATATGCCCATTGTTATTTTTTCGTCGAGCTACCTCGGGTAAAAAAAAAGAAGTTTCTACGATGAATAGAAGCCGAGATATTGCAAAATTTACAGCGCGCATCAATTTGAACTTTCACGGGAAATCGTAGTTTACGTCGTAAACTTTATTTTGCGAAAAATCTTAAAGTTTATAAACAATTGCGCTACGATTTTTTTTTTAAATTCTTATCTTGGCTCCTGTTGGTCGTAGAGGGTGCTTTTTTTAAAAAATTATATTTCTTTGCCAGCTATCCATTGTATCTATTTTCGGTGAGGTAGCATATATTTTATTCAAATTGTTTATAAGCGAAAACGCACGGTTTTTTAATGCACTATTTGAGAATGTTAATGTCAAAAAAACGGTGATATTTTTTAATAGGTCGCTTAATTACGCCTTTAAGATTGCAATGACGCTTTCAGAATCATGTTTGGTTGAAAATTAACGCCTGTACAGAGGCTTAAAGTTCATAACTTTTGGAGCCTCCGTTATAAACGAATAGAATTGTGCGAAAACTATTGCACCTACAGCGCCCACTTTTGGCACACTTTTAAAGTATGACAAAACCCTCAACTTGTCATAGGTTTTATAAAATTTTAACAATAAATGCGACAGTTATAAACAATTTAAAAAATGGGCAATTTTCTTGTTTTTTTGCAATAACTTTTTTTTTATTAACCGATTTTAATTTAACAAGTCTCATTTTGTTGATAATTTTACTTCCTACAAGCTGTCTGTGAGTCACTTTTCGCTAAAATTGATGGTTTTCCCTGCAAAGTGAAAAAACTGTTTTCCTCACTTATTTGTTTAAATAGAAAAGTTAGCCAATAAAAGTTTTTGACTCACAAGATGAGAGATGTGTTGTATTATATTCCTTTAGATAATTTTACAATAATATCGCGGATAGGACTTTTTTCGAGTTTCTCGTTTATTTTCGCTAATTTTCCTGGTGTATTATATTATACTTAGACATTATCTGTCACGGCACACTTCAAGTTATACAACCGGCAACCGGCACCGGCCTACTGCGTTTCAGAGAATGCAAAAAGCGATTCAAATATTTACATTACAAGCTCCTCCAAGGCCGCCTGCAAAACACGCGGCACGTGTGCCATTCGACACACGCAGACGTCGCTGAAAATTTGCATTAATTACAGGAAATTCATTGACCCACTGCTGATGAATGACGATGAGCAGTAGCCGACTGAACAGCTGGCACCGCCAAGTTTTTTTTTATCAAAGTACCCACATCAAAGCCACCACATCTTGAATATGCATGTAAACATGTCGAAGATAAAAAAAATTTAACTGTAAGTTAACACTTTAATATTTCTATGCGATGGAGAAAAATACCAATGAAAGTTAACCAGTCGCAATAAAAATGAGGATATTCTTCCATAATGAAATTCCATAATATGTATAATAAGAATAGAGCTTGTTTCACCTTGAACTTTTTACAATGAATTATGATGGTATTACATCATTCGTCGTGAACTGGACGTACACTTTGAAACGGGATTTTCACCCAGGTATTAGACAAAATCGGTGATTTTTATTGTAAGCGTAACTCGTGTTAACCTAATTTCTATAATGAAATGGCATTTGCGACACTTGCCCGGCCTATATGTTTGCGTTTAAAAGGGCCATCGCATTAGCCACGGACAGAAATAGGAAGTAATTAGGCGAAATGGCGTGTCATACGCCCGGTGATGTTTGTTCTGTCGACGCAAACTCATTATCGGGTTCCCTCCAGTTTTTCGAGCTTCAAAGGCAGTCCCCAACATTATCAAAAAATAATTAAACGTAATGTGTAAATAAAAATAAACAACTGCGCAATTTGGGTCGCTTACAATGTAAATGAAGAGTAGATTGCACCGAATGAATGATTATTGTTACTAATTAGAATTAGGAACTAATTAAAAATTTCATCTATTGCCAATGTTGAATAAATTGCTTGGATTTCTCTGTGAAAAAAAAAATGCAAAAACTTCGTTCAGCGTCTTTGGGAACCGCCCTAAAGAAAAGAGTACGTGCTTATGACATGAATCACCAGTTAACATCATTTTTATAACTAAAATGATTTAAAAAACACGACAAGTTAAAATTACGCCACGTTTCCACTTCCAGGTACTGCTACTCCACTGTTATTGTTTATTTCAATTATTTCATAGTCAAGGCTACTATGAAATGAACAGACATGGTATGGCTAAACTTACGATTTATGATTATGACTTTCTCTGTATAGCTTGTCTAAATGTTCGACCGGACCCCTTCCCAATAAAGGGTAGAAGCCAGGAGCGTAGCAAGAGGGCCAAAGCAGGTACATAAACCTAAAACGAAATTATACGTATTCTGCATCCATCATAGATATCTAAGGAGAAACAAAAACATAAACAGACATCTCATAGCACGACAAAACAATTCCTAATATTAAAGATACCATCTTGTTACACTCTAAACTCTAAAGTGTTAATTACTGACATTCGCGTACTTTATCATGTGCCTGATAGCTGTACCAATTATGTCGAATTTGAAGCCTATAATTTTTTTTCATTTTCGTTTGTAATCAAATTGATAGTTGTTTTATCTTCTTAATTTATTTGGCCAGAAAGACCTATGTATAATATCGTATTTATTTCGCTGACTTTTACACCAAAATGGATCAAACGAGCACAGCCGCTCAACAGTAAGCCGTTGATATCATTATTTATTAATAACAGTCTAATAAGAGTCTTGGCTCGATATTTTTGTTTGTAAGTATTCCCAATTGTTTTGCCAAGTATTTTAACGCCACTTAATTTATTTTGAATTAGATAGCTGAAATACTAAGAAGCAAAAATTATTAACAGGTACGCGGTACTCTTTTATATATTTTTAAACGTAAGCTCATAGTTTTGTATATGTTCCACTAAAGTCACGAAATGTCGTGAATATCGTGCAAAAATATGAAAAAATTATAGCCAAGTGTGCTGATTTCTATTCGTATAGTTTAAAACATAGTGTTCATTTTGCTTTGAGTAGTAACTTTGGTTTTTCTCTGTTTATTTGGAGATTTTGTTTTTTACTACGAAAAAATCTCACATTGAATAAAGTAAACGAATAAAAAAACGCATCGCTATACTTCAATTTAATTAAGATATCGACAATTAATTCGTACTTTTAATATACCACATACTCATACATCGTGGAAACATAACCTCAAAAAAGTTATATAATGGAGAGATAACAGCCAGCGCCATCTAGCAGACAGTTGAAAACTAACTACACTGACGTATAAAGAACACGCCAAAATTTACCTGCTGCACCAAATTCAATGCAATACACTGCTTTTTGGGAGAAGGTATAGCTAAAATTTAATTTAAATCATCTTTGACACCCTATCCCTTAAAAGGAAAAGACGATGGACCCAACTCCATTATAACAACCTGTATTGTATACACAGGGTAGGCCATTAGTGTGAGAAAGTAAAATAACTCCCTTGTTACTCATAATACAGAAAAAAAGTGTGTATAAAAGTTATACAGAATCAAGAAACCTAAACTACAAAATTAATATGATACATACAGGGTGATGAGTAAAAACGGGACACGCCAAATATTACATTTTTTAAATGAAACACCCTGTATATTTTTAAACATGAATTTCTGAGAAAATTCTATATACGACAATATAAACGGTTTATTATTTTAGTGTGGAGTTGCCAAGTTATGTAGAAAATTCTTCGAATTTTGGGAAAAAACATGACCTAGAAGAAGTTGCATTGACTTTTAGCTACTAACACCTGGGACAAAATAATTAGACAGAGTTATAGGCAAATGTTAGACCAAGGCTCCTATATTTGCTAATATCGATATTTTATACAGGGCATTTTTTATAATACGATGATTTTTAGAAAGTTTAAACTTGATTTTCTAAAATTTTTCAAATAGTACACCCTGTATTTTATTGTTCTATTTTAATCACATATCGGTTCACTTCAACTTTTATTAAGCATGTTCTATAACTAAAATTGTTAGTTTTTAAGATATAGCAACAATTCTGAAAAAACTTAATTTTTATTATTTTATAGAATACCACAAATAAATATTAACTAATAAAATTAACTCAAAATGGAATGATAAATTATGAGCTGACAAGTTGACACAATGTGACAGTTTTTTCCAAAGCCATTTCGTGCGACCGAAAATAATAAAAATTAGTTTTTCCAGAAATGTTGCTATATCGTAAAAACTAACAACTTTAGGCGTAGAATATACTTATTGAAAGTTGAAGTGGACTGATATGTGAATAAAATAGAACAATAAAATACAGGGTGTTCCATTTGATAAGTTTAGAAAATCAAGTTTGAACTTTCTTAAAATGATCGTATTATAAAAAATGTGCTGTATAAAATATCGATATTAGCTAATAGAGGAGTCTTTGCCTAACAGTTGCTTATAACTCTCAAATATTTTTGCTCCAAGTGTTAGTAGATGAAAGTTAATATAACTTCTTTGAGGTCATGTTTTTACAAAATTCGAAGAATTTTCTACATAACTTGGCAACCCCGCACTAAACTGTTTCTATTGCCATATACAGAATTTTCTCAGAAATCCATATGTTTAAAAATATACATTTAAAAAATTTAATATTTGTACAACTTTTATATAAACCTTTTTGTTTTACGAATAACGGGAGTTATTTTACTTTCTCACACTAATGACCCACCCTGTATTACCATTGAATTTAATGTTAACTAAACTTTCCCCACGCACAAGATAACTACTTGAGTGGTCACCTTTTTATATCGTAATGTAAAATTTTGCATACCTTCATATATTAGCAAATAAATATTATTTTTATTATTAATAACAATTTTATATAAAAAATAAATGACAATGAAGGCACCCTGCATTTTGTTTTAAATGAATAGGTATTAAAAATTAGGGAGACAGGAAACTTTAGCGGTCAGTAGAAAATCAATCATTTTTTAAAAATAGATATTTACCTCCCGGAGTGGTTGAAAACAAAGTCCCCCCGGGGGTGGAGGAGTAGTGCGCTGGTAGCTCGGAAGGGTCGGAAACGAACACCTTCTTGATGGGGATGGCCTTACTTCCTGCGGCTTGTCGGGCCATTGGTGAAGCTGACATTTCGACAGGTTGGTGTTCCGACAACAAAATCCACAACTCGCGCTCTGGTACACTAAACAACGTTACTCGCGACAAATTATTATATAAACGCGGCTAGTCAACACTCCCTACCCTGCCAGACGGAAAACGTGGTCACACAGTGGCGTAGCAACGGGGGAATGGGGCATATGTAGAAGTTTATTTTAATATATCTCCCATTGTAAGGCAGATATTTCAACTTTTTCATTGTTGTATTGAAAAATCCCAAAATTCAGTAGGTACTTAAACTTAAATTAAAAAAAAACTAAAAGAGGTCGTAATTTTTTTGCATTAAATTAGAGCTTATTTTTACAATTAAAAAAAAGAAAAAAAATCGCCTACGCCTCTTTGTTCCCAAAGATAACATTTTTTATAGCCACAGGGCATAGAATAACATTATTAAGTTTCTCTGTAGAGAATTGTCAGTTACTGTACACATTTTTTGAATTTCCCGCCCTATATAGAAGTTATATCGATTCATCCGCTTGAAATATCTCTGACTAAGTTCACAAATGTTCTAAAAAGTTTGTGCTTTTGCTAGTTTTTTTAATCACTTAGATATTTTTATGCTTCAGATTTAACATCATGTATAAAAACATCCCTTTTTGGAAATTTAAACGTTTAAATAAACTGAGCAACTCTACTCATGTTTTTGAATAAAGAAGCATTGTTTGCTGTCATTTTTTTAATGGACTGGTTCATATATTTATCCATTTTCTTAATTTTCAGCATATCTCCTAAAAAAATTGTACGTCCATGCCCATTACATATTTCTCTCTCGCGAGTAGCTACACCGAAAAAATTGCAATTAAAAGTAATAAATTAATAAATAAAAGATCGCGACAAGTCGTGAAATCTGGCAAATCGACATATTCTTCCTTATCTCCCAGTTCCCACACACCTTCGATTTCTTATCGTCTAAACAATACGGCGACAAATGTGTTTTTAAACAAGCTTTATCTGTTCAGTTTTGCATCGCATTTCACGATTACACATAGGTATTTGTTGTTTTTTTGACACGTGTATAAATTTACTACGCACTGTATTTTTTATCGCTTCCGAACGATTAGACTAGACGGAATAGGTATTTCTTGAAAAAAATGCGTTGAACCTAAACCCGCCTAAGGAGTTCTGTCCAATGAAATTATTAGCATACCTGTTGGGATAATTAGTTGTAAGAACTAGTTTATTATATTAGAACATTGTTATTGCAGTACAAGTAGTAAATAAACGGTTTATGTCGACAAAAAATAGATGTTTTCAATTAAAAATAGGTTTTTGTTTTGTTTACACCATAGACCAGAGCACGAGGCAGTGCTACGTGTGTTTGGTAACCTGCTTTGCCTGGTTCTAAGAATCATAATAAGAATAATTAAGTAGTCGTTTTTATTTATGAATGTCTATATCTTGATTATGTTGATTTATTAAGATATTATTTGTGCATACGTATACCCCTTTATGCATAATTATTTTTCTATGATTTACAGGGTGTTTAAAATTTTAGTCGTTATAAAAGCTTAGTTAAATAACATTTCCGAATTTGGAAAGTAGCTTTAGCAACAACGCCTCTAATATTCAGGTAAATGACAGATATTTTGCACCCCGTTGATTAAAAATATCCATCCGATTGCCGTTTCAATAATGCTTTTAATTTTAGATAGTTTCCCATATCGATGTTGTTCGTTGTTGTAGACATCAAAGTAGCTCTGAGCATCGCATATATTGACCATCATAATGAAGAGGATTTCATACTTTTACTTAATTCAAAAAAATACATCAATACATACATTTTCTAAAAAAGGCATAACGTTGTTCTCAGCCCGCTAATCAATAAATTTATTATATGTTTGCTGATATATCTTCATCGATTCTTTTGGTAATAAATGACACTCTATTTACTTTGCTGATTCAATAATTTCTAGCGGAGTTAATGTGAATTCTTCTATCTCAAATAATAAATAGTTATTTACATTAAATAGAACAGAATAATATAAGAAATATTTTAACATTAAATAGACCTGTCAGAAAATAGCAGTTAAATTCATAATTAAAATGTTATACAGTGTAGGAAAGTACCGATGGTCTATCAGAAGTTACGTGAGAGCAATAAAGTAAGCCACAGAAATCCATGTGATAGACAAGGATGGCTATAATGAAGGCGTCTAATAGTCAACGCCCATTTCGCCCTTCCACAAATAAGATCCACTTCTTATTTGTGGAAGGGCGAAATGGGCGTTGACTATTAGACGCCTTCATTATAGCCATCTTTGTCTATCACATGGATTTCTATGGCTTACTTTATCGCTCTCACGTAACTTCTGATAGACCATCGGTACTTTCCTACACTGTATACTAAAAAATACCAAAAATATATGAAAACAGGCAAAATATTTATAATACTGCATTTATGTTACTATGACAATAAACTTAGAAATTTCTGTAAAAAGCATTGTAATAAATATTTTTTATCATTCAGGGAATGCAATTAATTTTATTAAAGAAAAGGAGTTTTTCAAAACTATACCGATTGTTTAATAATTAACCTAGACTTTACTATTTTGTTGCAACTCATATTTATCATAATGTGTGGTCGATCAGTCCTATTTAATGGAATCTACATTAAAATAAACTGGATGGTTTTAGTCTTAGTTGTTGATGGGACAGAAAACAATGATTAAGGCCCATGTCAAACTATTAAATTTGACGTCATGATGAGTTTAATAAAATCATCAAACCAATCAAACTCTTTTTATTAATGGCAAAAACAAAATATTGCAAAAAAAAAATCCTCAAGTTTTAGAATTATTCTTTGAGTGTATTATTCTACCGACCAAATCAATTTAACCAAAATTATTTGATGGTATGAAAGTAAATTTTATTGTCCTCATCAAATTATTTATATCGAATACATTTAACGAAAATTTGATAATCCGGCCATTGGTTATATAAACTACGTTAGTATATTTAAGTATTTGACGAGCTAACAGAGAAATTAATTCATTTTGAAGCGATAGTCAATGATCATGCATGGTCAGTGTCAGTGGTCACTAGTGAGCGGTAGCATTGCCAAAATTGGGCTAGATTTGGCTCATTTTTAATTTTTCGTCATGTTGGTACCACTAGCGACTTTAGATAAAGATAGGGATACAATAATTTGCAAATGGTTGATACATTTTGAAGCTTTCTAAGTTCCAAAAATACACAACACAATATTGCTATAATTGAAACTTGCTGTGGATAGGAACACATCAGAACAAAGGTAAACAACCATACATAAATTATATAATATTCACCTTTAACTAATCAAAATGAGTGATGAATTGCAAAACTACCAACTCCAACTGCAACAAGTCGAGGCAGCCTTGCTGACAGACCCGGATAACCAAGAGCTTCTGAAGCTGAAGATCGATCTGAACGAGGTAATAGATTTGACATTAGACTTAAAGAATAAAGCCGAAGAGGCTGCCAATCAGCCGGAATACACAGAACCAGTTGGTGTAGCAGAGGACGATGAGATAACGAAAAGCCTTCTAGCCGTAGAACAGTTTGTTGCCAAAAACAAAACGAAAAAGAGATGGAGGATTGGCGACATCTGCATGGCAAAGTGGAACGATAACGGCCAGTACTACGAAGCCAGAATAGACGCCATAAATCCAGACGGACAGGTAAATGTTACATTTGAAGCTTATAAAAACAGGGGCGTCACTACTTTAGCCGAACTCCGTGAATTCACAGGTCAGAAACGAGTTCTGTCCGAGGCAGAAAAGTTGAAAAAGGCAAAATTACACAATAAAGAGTACTTGAAGAAGAAGAAACAGAAAAAGCAGCAGCGGTTTAAGGAACTCGAGGAGGAGCGCGAGTGCGAGAAGAAAAAGTGGTTGGCGTTTGCCAACAAAGCGATTAAAAATAGAAAGACAGGACTTAAAAATAAAAGTATCTTTGCTTCGCCAGATTCCGTGAACGGTAGAGTCGGCATCGGTACTTGCGGAATCAGCGGGAAGCCGATGACGGAATTTACCACCGCAGAAAAGTGGAGAAAAGGTGTGTAAACGGACAAAATCAAATTTTGTATAGTGCAAATTTTAAACCGGTGTATCAGAACTTAACATTCTTTTGTATAAAAATAACTTAGTTGATAGCTTTCACCGTAATCTATTTAAGATGAATTGTAACTTAAATCAATACATTCTCGTGAACTGAAGTCTGATTTTGTATTATTACATGTTTAAAAAATATGTTGCAAATATTCACAGAATTGTAATTAAATTAAATTTTTTTAAATTCAGAGAGGTTATGTTTATATTTTAAGCTTAGATAACCAACTTTTCCTGGAAGGTGTATACTGTGTTGCATACATTACGACGAAATGACAAATTTCATATCAAACATAACCTATAAAAACAAATAAGTTTATTTTTATTATTGTATAAAGATGTGGCGCAATACGTTAAAACTGTGCTACAATTTGTCGAAAAACACTTTAAACATCATCAAACCGTCAGAGAGGTAATTGAATTAATCAAACTCGTACGAAATCTATCATATCTACTCCAAAATTTCAGCACACCGAAACAAGTCTGCAATGCAACTCAACTCATTGCAGCCCACTCGATATCAACCACCCCAAGATTATACATGTTTATACAAACGCAAGAGACCCCAAATCCAAACAGTTTAAAGTTCCTACCCGGTGTCCAAGTCTTGGAATCCGGCCAGACCATCGACTTCCCAAACGGTCAAGCAGCTTACGGTTCCCCGCTGGGGAAGATGCTCTTTCGAATCGAGGGCGTAAAAAGCGTTTTCTTGGGGCCTGATTTTATCACAATCTCTAAAGCTGAGGATGACGTCGACTGGAAGATACTGAAACCTGAAATTTTCGCCACCATCATGGACTTTTTCGCCAGTGGTTTGCCCGTTTTGAACGAAGCTAAACCGAATTTAGACACTCGTAAGTAAACAGTACTTGCAAAGAAGATATTTGTTTCATCAAATTCTTGTAGAAATTAACGAAGATGACGATGAAACAGTGCAAATGATTAAGGAATTGTTAGACACTAGGATTAGACCCACGGTACAAGAAGATGGAGGTAGGATATTGATTGTACTTACTTTTTTAGAGGTGCTACTGATTTTTTTAGGTGATATAATATTTGTGGGTTACGAAGATGGTATAGTAAAATTAAAAATGCAAGGCGCGTGTTCGAGCTGCCCCAGTTCAGTAGTCACTTTGAAGAACGGCGTGCAAAATATGCTCCAGTTTTACATACCTGAGGTGCTCGGTGTTGAACAGATCATAGAAGAACACGAAAAGCTTTCCGACTCCTACTTTGAAAAGGTCAACAAAAAAATTGAGGAAAAAGAATCATAAAAAATAAATTTCGTCAATTTAATTGTACCATAATGTAAATTATTGTTAAAATGAATTAGTTTATAAAAAAAATAAGGATATTTTCTTCCTTTTTGACTGATTTATTGATCGTTTTAGTTTGATAAAAAAATAAATTTAGTTCTTGAAGTTTTTTTTTCTGTATAACGAATAGCACTTATTTAAGGAAATACGAGGAAAACCTTTAAAAATTTGTTTCTTTTTTATTTATGTGAAAACTAACATAAGCAATAAGTCTTCTCTGAATCTTCTCCCTTGTCGATCTTGTCCAAACAAACTTCCTTCAAAGCTTCTCCCTCATTCAAAGCACTGTCCAAGTCTGGCAAAGCATCACCGATCCTCCTAAACAACTGCTTTATATTATACCCAACCTTAGCACTAGTTTCGATGAACAAAGTATTTAATTCTTTCGACTTTCTCTCAGCTACTTCCACAGAAACTTGTCTGATATCTTCTAAATCAACTTTATTACCAACTAAGATTATTATAACATTAGTGCCCCGTTCTTTCCTTACTTCTTCAATCCATCGTTCTGTTTGTTCAAACGATTTGAAATTGGTTATATCGTAGACAACCACAGCAACAGAAGAATCTCTGATGTAGGAGGGTATTAGAGATCTGAAACGTTCTTGACCAGCAGTGTCCCATAATTGTAGCCTTACCGTCCTGTCTTTCAGATATACTGTTTTTGAAAGGAAGTCTATTCCGACAGTGGCTTGATAGGTTGTATCGAAACTGTCGTACATGAATCTTGTTATCAAAGACGTCTTTCCTACGCTTTGTTCACCAAGAAACACTAGTTTATATTTCTGCAATGCAGAATTAACATCCTCTCTCGCAAAAGACTTCATTTCGGAAGAATTAATGTTTAACACAAGGTTCAAGCTCGAATTTGCTTCAACTTTCAAATTGGCGGTTTGATTTAAGACATTTGAACTACTTCAAGGGATGAGGATCATTAAGTCGTTTTGTTGTTTTTCATACAGTGCAAAATACATTCAAGTTAACCTTGTTTATTCTCTCTATTTGATAAGATTTCTTTTGATTGTGATTAGTTATTAGCCAATTACGTTGGGTAATTTAGATTCAGATTTTATAATCATGATCGTGGAGACTACACAGATCATAATCATGAAATTTTAAACGAAAGCACCTCATTTAAATGAACTAAAAACTGAAGCAATCATATTGATAATTGATAGATAAACGTGGTCATTGGTCAATGAATAACAACGAACTTCTAGATTTTCTAAAGGATTTACTGAAATGTCAAAATTAATAAACAAAAATGGTAAATGTTATGAAAGGAGTATTAGTCAAATGGTAAGTAAATAAAAATAAAATGTATATTCTACATAAAAATAAGGCTTTTATAAAAAAAATTTAGTGTTTTTATTCAATATAGTCTAGGTCTTCAGGAATGCCAAATTGTTTATTCAGAACACTGTCTTCTATAAAAAACTTTTTCTTGCACCAAGATTTTGTTGCAAATATGTTGTCTGTCCATCTGTTAGCAGCATCTTTTAATTTCTGAAAATAATTGTGATATAGTCGAACATAACCTAATTTTTTCCTATAGCAATTACGTTTGTATTTTCTAAAACAGATTTATATGCTCCATGATCATTTTCTTGGAAAGTCTTCAACTTCTTTTTAAGTTCGTTTAACTCCAATTCTAAATCACCGATTTCATCGAGGACTTTGTTCCTTGTGTTATGTTCATCTTTGCAATCCTAAAAAGATAAGGGTTAGTTACCTCGAAGAACTATAACTTTTGATTTACTTTTGATTGCTCTATGGTTTGTTGCATTATTTTTAATTTTTTACTAGATTCTTCTAACTCGATTTGAAGTTCACCTATTTTTCTCTTTTTCGTTCCAATAGCTTTACTGTGAAAGAAAGAAATTTGAAAACGGTTCAAAATGTTGTAGAAACCCACCTTGGAAATGACCAGAAATACACGGAAGTACCGATTTTATCCGTTTCAACTAAACCGTCCTCGACCAGTTTCTGAACAACATCCTTAACTGAATTCGCTATAATACCTTTTTCTTTCGGTGCTATTTTCTCAAGTTCCTTGAAATACATGTTATTTAAAAAAAAAAGATCACTTAGTATATATTTACTTTCAATTGGAAACATTCTCCTTTCTCATGGAATAACTGTAGCATCCTGCTTCGTTTCTCTTCAGCGCTAACACCTTTCCTCGACATTTTTTTAATCTTCAACTGTAAAATAAAATAGTAACGTATATGAAACTACGAAAAGCAAAAGGTTTCCTTTATTTTTTCCAGTGACCAGGCTATGAAACAATTCCTGCTACACTTGGACGAAACGTTAAAACTGGGACGGAAATTCATCATTCAGGATCTAGACGAGAACCATCTTTTCATTTCTGCCGATATACTAGAGGTCCTACAGGCTAAAATCGACGATTTGATGGATCAAATCAGTTTCCCGTTAGCCGAGAAGGGAATGTAACTTTGCATACCACTAGTAGTTTAAGTAAAAGTTAATAACCAGCAAAAATGACGATTTCAAAGTCCACTTTGCGCGGCTCGAACCGCTTGAAAGAGGGGGACAAGCGGCGGGTTGTCGATGAGACCTCTCGTAAAAGACGGCACCGGAAGGTGATGGAGCTGCTGGAATCCGATAACTACCATGACGATCCTCACGCGGACCTAGTGATGAGTAAGAAGATACCAAAATTCGACGATAACTTGGAACAGAGGAGTACCAGAACGAAAAAGAAGGAACGTACCGCAGAGTATTATCAGATAAAGTTTCGGAAAAACTTCCAGCAGCTGGTAGACGAGGACAGGGCTGAAGCCGAGGCGAGTAAGAGGGTGTCTTACATGGACATTCAGTGCGAGGAGTCTCCGATGCCGCCCCGCCACTTTTGCGCCGTTTGTGGGTTTTTGGGACAGTATTCTTGTTTGTCGTGCGGTACGAGGTTTTGTAGTATCAGGTGTATGGATACGCACGCTGATACGAGGTGTCTAAAATGGGCTGCTTGACCTTTCAACTTTTTTATCTGTGCATGTTTTCTAATTAGGTGATGTTTTTGCATTATTTTTTAATATTCTGGTGTTATATTTAAGTGGGTTTGATAATGCTTACTTTAATTATATATTTTTACATAGCCTGAATAAAAAATTGTGTTTTGACCGTTTGTTCGAGGTTGTTTTTGTACATTTTTTAATGCAACAAGATTTATCAAAAAATTGGATTTAAAATTAGACAAATCATTTTTAAACAGTAGTAGTACGCGCCCTTAGATAATACTATTTTAATTTACACACTAATTATTACCAAGATCCAGTGGATAAAAGAAAAGAAGACAATTTAAAGGTTATGCGTGCACCTACTGAAATTAAACTTCACTTCTAAGTACTAGCTAGCAAAAACACTATTGTATTTTTATTTATCATTTAAAAATATAACCAAACATTTAAGATACGTGAAATCAAATTAATTCATATTTTTTTAGTAATATTGTCCGAATCACGTGTATGAATTTTGACCTGGGATGCGTTACGTGATTGCAAGTGACCCCAATTAATTAAATTCTTTTAAGATATTATTGTCTAAGGTTATGAATTGCAATCTTAATGAGGTGTTAAGAGATAAACAAAGCCGATACAGTTGTATTCTCAGTATTTCTAAATGAAAATCAACATTCTGCCCCAGTATTTTTCGGAACGTGCCATCTCAAACGTCATTCCGAGAAATTTTTTGGTTAGGGTTTTATGTTGGTGGTGCAGTAATCCAAAAATAACATTCAAAAAAGGGCATTTCTCTGAATCTCAAAAACAAGCTTACTGTTGACAAATAAACGTAAAAGACAAGTATTTGGTAGAGTGATAATACGGGTTCTAAGTATGACGGAAACTACTGACCTATCTGAACAGAAACTGATCTCAAATGGAGCAGCAAAACCAAAAGAAAAACCGGAACTAAAGCAAAAGTCCGGATTAATGAAACTTTCGAGCTACGTCCTGGCGCTGAGACCGTGGTCTTTGAGTGCTAGCCTGATGCCTACGTTACTAGGATCGACTATAGCATACAAGTGCCCTGGTTCTTCGGATTTCAACTATATAACGTTATTACTAACCCTTTTCACTGTAGTCTCAGTGCACGGGGCTGGTAATGTTGTAAATACATACTTCGATTACGTTAAGGGAATCGACAATCGAAAGTCTGATGACAGAATTCTCGTGGACCACATACTATCAAAAGACGAGGTAGTCTCCTTAGGCGCCACGCTGTACTTTGCTGGATGCGTTGGGTTCATACTACTAGCAAGCTTGTCCCCAGCAAAAATGGAACATCTAGCCTTGGTGTACTTTGGAGGTCTATCGTCGAGTTTCCTCTATACGGGAGGGATCGGTTTTAAGTACATAGCCCTGGGTGATGTCATAATTTTGATTATTTTCGGACCCATTTCGGTACTTTTCGCTTTTATGTCGCAGACGGGACGTGTGGAATGGGCGACCATTTACTACGCCATCCCCTTGGCTCTGAACACCGAAGCTATCCTACACAGCAACAACACGAGAGACGCCGAGTCCGATAAGAAAGTAGGAATTGTTACTCTGGCCATTATTATCGGACATACCGCGTCCCACGTCCTGTACGCGTTTCTGCTGTTCACACCCTACATAATGTTCATGGTAGCTTCGTTGAAATACTCCAAATGGTTCATGTTGCCCCTCGTAACGCTACCGGGGGCGTTTAAGATCGAGAAGCAGTTCAGATCCAACGAAATACACAGTGTTCCGAAAAAGACTGCCAAGCTGAATCTGTTTTTCGGCGTGTTGTACATCCTCGCCTGTAGTTTGGTTCCCTCGCTGCCGTACGTCACCCAGAGATAGATGTTTGACGCTTTACTGATTTTATTTATTTGCATTAGATTATTTTTTATCGTACTAAAGAATACTTTACGCTCATGATGTGGGGCCCTCTTTTCCATGAGAAAACCTCAACGGTAGCTTTAACTTGATCACTTTTCATTATGAGACTGGTTCGGGGGAATTTACAAACTCGAAGGCGAATCGCCAGTGCAACTTTCTTATGGAAATCTGCCTACATATATTACTTATTTATTCTAAGTATACATTATTGTAAACTTGTTTACGTGGATTATTCAGTTGCAGTTTTGTACCTAATTTATATTTACTGTTATACTAAGGTTTTTAAGTAAACATTATGAGTTTTTGTTAGTTTTTTTTTATTTAAGGACGAGTAACGATATAATATACATGCACTTTTACTTAACGGTAGAGTAGTAGAGTACTCAGTAAGAGATTTTGTAAATGACAGGCTTAAGTAGAGTTTTTGAACTTGCGGATTTTCCTATTGTACCTTTAGAATTTTCATATTTTATAGACATATATATATATTAAAAATCAGTATCTTCCATTAGGTTTAAGGTGGACATTCGACAAAGAGTTTTTTTGAAATAATTATTGTACGAGTTACGTTTGGAAAAACTTTTTGTAAGTTACAATTTTTACTTTACCGATGCTCAGATCAATGAAAAGTATATCGAGACAATAAATACAAAGTCTGGAAAGATATCGGCGCACCAAACGAACTTTTCTAGGATTTTTAAGGATCAAAACGGCTGCACCAACTAGACACTTAGTAAGAAAAAGACAAATTCTGCATGACTAGAGCTTAAACTATTCACATATCTGTTACGATTACGTTTCGAACAACTGCTCACGTTGAAATAAATATTTAGAATAAGCTGGTATTTTATTTTTCCCAATACTTATGTTTTCTTCGATTCATCTCACGATTTCTCTGAAAAATCGATCTTTAAAATAATATTAATTTATTAACTATATAGGGTGTTAATTAAATGCATTGATAAATTAACGTGTGATTATTTGAGTTACTTTAAGCTAAAAAGCCAAACGGGTCTGCAAATTCACCCATTCTAAAATATGCCTGAAGATGTTTGATGCGGAATGATGAAACTTAGGCTAATGATTTATCTAATAAATGGTAAAAATCTACTGGAAAGCCTGGATATTTTTAAAATTCAAACGCTACTTTCTAACTCCTTGTAGTGTTTCCAAATAAAAATATCTTTATCCTACACTACCTTTTTAAATTTTTTTTCAATTTTCATTTCGTAAAATATAGAATAATTCTAGAACTACTCGTTTCAAAAAATTCCGTGGGATTCTTCCGATATAAGTCAATTTTAAATACAAGGTGTCCCATTTTAATTTACCAGGCCGCATAATTTTTTTAATTCGACTTATATTTCGAACAAAAGTTACCAGGTTTCAAGGGGGTTAAATTATGGTGACCTTGAAGTCAAGTTTCAAGGTCAACCTTGATTTTTTAAATGAAAACGCATAATTTTTATTGCAAATTCGTATTCTGCGGGAAAAAATAGGTAACCTTTGTAGGAAACATTTTTTGAAAATGCTTTGTTCTCTCGTTAGAGTGCACTATATTTTTGCTGTTCCATTTTCATTTTCAGACCAATATTTCAAGAAATAAGCAGAATGGTAAAAAATATTTCCGACAAAAGTTGTCAGGTTTTGGGGGGATCAACTATCGTGAGCTTGAAATTAACCTTAATGCGAATTATCAAGGTCAACCTTGATTTTTCAAATGGAAACCCATATTTTTATTACAGTTTCGTATTCTGCGGGCAAGAATATATTCTACGATACTGTAATAAAAACATCTGTTTGCATTTACAAAAACCAAGGTTGACCATGAATTGTCCTTGATAATTGACTGTAAGGTTAATTTCAAGATCACGGTAATTTGATCTCCCCGAAAATTTGCTTATTTCATGAGATATTAGCCCGAGAATTAAAACGAAACAGTAAAAGTACAGCGTACTCTGGCGAGGGAACGAAACATTTTAAAAAAATTGTTTCATACAAAAGTTACGTATATTTTCCCGCAGAATACGAATCTGCAATAAAACATATGGGTTTCCATTGAGAAAATCAAGGTTGACCTTGAAATAACCTTGATAATTGACTTCAAGGTCACCATAATTTGACCCCTTCGAAACCTGATAACTTTCGTTCAAAATATAATTTTATAAAAGTTGAATTAAAAATTTATATGGCTTAGTTATCAGGTTTCGAGGGGGTTAAATTATGTTGACCTTGATGTCAAGTTTCAAGGTCAACCTTGATTTTTCAAATGAAAACGCATTATTTTTAATGCAGATTCGTATTCTGTGGGAAAAAATACTTAACCATTGTAGGAAACATTTTTTGAAAATGCTTCGTTCTCTCGTTAGAGTGCGCTATACTTTTACCATTCCATTTTAATTCTCAGGGTAATATCTCAAGAAATATGCAGGATGATGAACAATATTTCCAACAAAAGTCGTCAGGTTTTGGGAGGATCAATTACCATGACCTTTAAATTATCCTTAATGCGAATTATCAAGGTAAACCTTGATTTTTTAAATGGAAACCCATATTTTTATTACAGTTTGATGAAACAGTAAAAGTACAAAAGTACAGCGTACTCTGGTGAGAGAATCAAACATTCTCAAACAAAAATTTGATACAAATGTTACATATATTTTCCCGCAATCCGAATACGAATCTGCAATAAAACATATGGGTTTCCATTGAAAAAATCAAGGTTGACCTTGAAGTGACCTTGATAATTGACTTCAAGGTCACCATGATTTAAACCCCTCGAAACCTGATAACTTTTGTTCAAAATATATTTTTTTAAAAGTTGAATTAAAAATGTATGTCTTGTATTTAAAATTGTAATAATTATTTTAACTTTTATGTGAAATAAGAGCAATTGATTAAAAGAAATCTTTTTTTAAGTCGAATTTTTGGGGTTTTTACCATGTATTTCCGCTATCGGTAGACGCATTTAATTCAGAATTCAGAATTTTCACCTTTAATTAGATAAATCCTTAACCTAAGTCTCGTCATTCTGCATCAAACACCTTCAGAGACATTTTAGAAAAGGTCAACTCTTTTTAATTTCAACACCCTGTATCTCAAAAATTATCGATTTGCGGACCCATATTTACATAATCTTTTGGGTTTAAAATCATAAAAAAAAATAACTGCTTGAAGTTTGTCGATGCACTTTATCGACATCCTGTATACTAGATGGCGCTAATAGCGACATCAAGACGGCGAAACCTAAAGGAACTGTTGGAAACGAGGGGACATTCAATCATAAGACGCCAAATTTTATATAAATTTTTTATTTGCTAAACTGTTACACCTAATAATTTTTCATATAAAAATTCGGAAACGAACCCGATTATCCCGTGAAGCTCGGGAACACTCGTCGTCCGGAATAATCGGATTCGTCTGCACTTCAAACTCTGTTACGTTAATATACATCTCACTTTTTTCTATTTGTAGTAAAGTATGTACAGCGACCTTCCATCCAAAACCGAGCAAGGTTTCCGAACCGGATGAAAAAAAATTGCCCGCGAACAAAATTAAATAATTCCTAATTGATACCGTTTAAAAGATTAATTAAAAAGAAATCGTCATAGAGAAGAGAAAAATGCAAGAAAATAACAGCAACGTTGAGATCAATACAAGTCTCATCAGCCTTGGAACAATAATAAAATCAAGAGGCCGGTACGAAAGCTCAATATTAACTACCGTTTGATAACGCGATTTTTAAACGAAAACTAAATACCGATTAACAAAGCCTTTCGTAGCAAACCTCCTTCAAACCAATTTTCTTACCATGTCTGTATTATATAAAAAGTACAAAAATCAATTATTATATAATAATAATCAATGTAAGAATTTTTAAATAAAATTACTCGTACAAAATTAAATTCAATTTGTTTTGGAGGTCTTCTCGTGCTTCCATATCCGTATCCTCTCTTTCAAGTCTTCAGCTAAAGGAAACCAAACATTACTTATTTAAAACCTAAATAAATACCAAAAACAAATAATTACAAAATCGTTATCCCACTTCTGATAAGGCAAAATTCATTATCCCACTCCTGATAAATTACAAAAAACCACATTTTTCACTTACCAGGAATCAACATCTCCTCGGTCAACAGCTGCCGATTGAAAGGATCCGTGTTGCTATTCAACAAGTGTCTCATGATCACCGACCTGTCCATGATCTGGCCGCTGGGCAGCAGGACGGGATCCGTCATCAGGGTGTCCATCAGGGGGTCCTTGAATTCGTCCGGAGCGTCCGCCAACCAATCCTCCGACTTCTGGTTCGTCTCCAGGATGCGGTGGGCCTTAGCTGCCAACGATTTGAACTGCTCTATTTCCACGGGGGTCTTTATCAGGATGCGTTCCAGCCTCACCGCCGCATCGTCGAAGAGTTCTTTCCTGAACGACCTCTGGAAATGATATAAGTGAAAGCTGTGGTGATTAAGGGACAATTTTGCTTGTACCGGATTTTACGATGCTGTTTTATTTGTTAATAAATGAGATGATAATGTTTTATCATCTAATAACAGGCTCGCTGTAAAACAAATGAGCACACTGTACTAACTGTTTGTTTAACTTAGGCAAATGACTTGGAATTACTTACTTATGTTATTGCACTCTTACATATCTTTGTTTTTACCGAACAGACATATTAATTTTAATTCGTGGCACTAAACAATGCAAAATTAGCTGTGCTAAGAGAAATGGATGGTGAACGTGTGGTTGTGAAGTTAACTATGCCAAGAGGAAAAGACGATGAATGTGTAGTTGTGAAATTAATTGTGCTAAGAGAAAACAATGACGTGTAGTTGTGAAATTAACTGTGCTAAGAGAAAACAATGGTGTGTAGTTGTGACATTAACTGTGCCAAGAGAAAAAGATGAATGTGTAATTGTGAAATTAACTGTGCCAAGAGAAAAAGATGAATGTGTAATTGTGAAATTAACTGTGCTAAGAGGAAACATTGATGTGAAGTTGCGATATTATCTGTACTAAAAGAGAAAAATGAATGTGTAGTTGTGAAATTAGTTGTGCTATGAGAAAAACATGGCGAATGTGTAGTGAAATTAGATGTGCTGTGACAATGATGAGCATGTAGTTGTGAAATTAACTGTGCTAAGAGAAATCAATGACGTGTAGTTGTGAAATTAACTGTTAAGAGAAAACAATGGTGTGAAGTTGTGACATTTGCTGTGCTAAGAGAAAACATTGATGTGAAGTTGTGATATTAGCTGTACTAAAAGAGGAAAATGAATGTGTAGTTGTGAAATTAGTTGTGCTAAGAGAAAAACATGGTGACTGTGTAGTGAAATTAGATGTGCTGAGACAATGATGAGCATGTAGTTTGTGAAATTAACTGTGCTAAGACAAAAACAATGGTGTGAAGCTGTGACATTAGCTGTGCTAAGAGAAAAATATGAATGTGTAATTTTGAAATTAACTGTGCTAAGAGAAAACATTGATGTGAAGTTGTGACATTAGCTGTGCTAAAAGAGAAAAATGAATGTGTAGTTGTGAAATTAGCTGTGCTAAGAGAAAACAATGGTGGGTAATTGTGAAATTAGCTAAGAGAAAAATATGGTGAGTGTGTAGTTGTGAAAAAAGTTGCGCTAAAAGCAAAACATCGTAAAAAAAGATGATGAATGTGTGTGTGTAGTTGTGAAATTAACTGTGCTAAGAGAAGAAAAATGAATGTGTAGTTGTGAAATTAGCTGTGCTATGAGAAAAACATGGTGTTAGTGTAGTGAAGTTAGCTGTGATGAGACAATGATGAACGTATAGTTGTCAAATTAACTATGCTAAGAGAAAACAATGGTGGGTAATTATGAAATTAACTAAGAGAAAAAATGGTGTGTGTAGTTGTGAAATTTGCTGAGCTAAAAGAAAAATACAGTGTGTAGTTATGAAAAAAGTTGCGCCAAGAGCAAAACATTGTGAAAAAAGATGATGATGTGAAATGAACTGTGCTAAGAGAAAACAATGGTGTGTAGTTGTGAAATTAGCTAAGAGAAAGAATGAGATGAATGTGTAGTTGTGAAATTTGGACTCACCTCATCGCCGGCGAGCGCCTCCGCAAACTTATCACAATCAAGGTGCAAGTAAATGTCGACCAGCTGGCTCAGCAGCCTCCTGGGCTCCCACCCGTACTTATCCGGGTTCCTGACCTTCAAATCCTTGCACTTCTTCCCGCACAGCTGCTGCAAATTGAAATTCAACATGGAAGCCAGCCTGTCGACCAGCTCGGGCCTGAGGAAGGGCTCTTTTATGTCCACCGTGAGGTAGTGGAACATGTCGACCGTCTCCCTGGCCAGGGTGAGGTACGACCTGCACTGCCTCTCGTCGGAGCTGAGCTGTCTCATGCGGCTCTGCTGCTGTTCCGAGGGCAGTTTTGACCACTTGGCGTCGTCGCTTATCAACTCCTGCACCTCGTGGATGCGCTTGAGCGACTCGAGGGACTCGTCCAGCAGGAACGTCGTGTCGTTCATCAGCATATTGACGAACTTGACAAACTGGTGGCCACTGCGCGACTCGTTGATCAGTGCCTGACGGTGGATCGGCGAACTCCACATTCCCTTGATGATCAAGCTGATGTGGTACCGGATCGAGAACTTATCGTAGAACTCCGAACTCGACCCGGTAGTTTCAACTTCGGTGTAGAACTTCATGAGGGCGCTGGGCAACAGTGTCTGCGATATCTGGTGATTCATGAAACGCATGTAGAGCATCTCGCAACGGGGCTGTATGGTGGGGATGATCACAAACACTACTTCGACTAGTTTGGCAACGAGATAGGGGTTCCTGACCATGCTGGAGGAGCAGATCGTGACCAGCAGCCAGGTGATGAGGGAGTTCTCCATGTTGTCCGTTATGACGGTCGGGAAATACCTGGAAGGCGAATCGTACCGTTGAAAACAGTGTCCGGGTAGTCTCGACGCGTACTTACTGTAAGGCAAACAAAAGAAATTCAGCGATGTCCTCCACGTACCACTCCGGCATGGCGGAAAAGGCTGGCGGGGGTGGCGATGGCAGTGGTAAGTTCGGCGCGGAGTCACCCGGCGGGGTATTGCTCATCAGACTTAATAGAAACTCGGACACGGAAGTGTAGAATATTAGGGACCTCCGCATGAGGTTTTTGTCCAACAGGCCTGCGTCCGCGCAGGCCTTCGATCTAAATAAAAAATACAAATTAAGCGATAAACGCTGGAAAAAATATATAATTTACAATGAAGACACACAAATACATCGTAACGTCACCAAAAACTGGGAAAAAAAATAGCTTTTTACACGTGAGACTTACTTGTTCAGTTTTTTGAGCTGCTGCTTCCACCTCTTAATGAACTGCTTATTGCGATTGGCGAAGGGGGTGTTGCGCCACTGCGCCTCCGCGGCCACCGTCTCGTCGAGGAGCTTCTGCAGGTCCCTGATGGCTCGCAGACGTCTCTGGTACTTCTGCAAGGCGGGCAACAGCGAAAGGTGATGGCAGTGCAGGGTCAGGAACCAGCAAATCGTCGAGAAGTTTGGCGGCTGGTGTTCGTGGGTTTTCCCTGGGGGAATTCACGTAATACGTCACAAACCGGCTACCGTATCTTTATTACATACAAACGCACAGCTCAACGATTACAACGTCCTATTCTTATTTTTGGGGAAATTGAAAAGAAAGTGGCGCAAAAAAATTTCCCAGTGTTCTTATCAACATTCCTGATATAAAACGGAACATGGAAAAATTAAATCTAAATGTTACTGCGTTTTTCCTCTGTCTTGTATTTTGTTTAAGGAAAAATAAATTACAGTAAAAAAATTCATCTATTCAATCATCCCTAGTTACTATTTCTTTTTTTTTAATCTATTATCCGCATGTTTTGCATTTTTTTAACTTGACTATTTACCTGCTATTTTTTTCACTTCTTATTTTTATCCTTTATATACAGGGTGTACATTTATGTTGAGATCAGTTTTTTAAAATAATTATTTTTGCTGTCATGAACCTAGTTTAGCTGAACTGTACTACTGTCACTACATACAGTAGATAGGAATGCATTTAGAAAAGTTAAAACAGGTAATATTAAAAGGTTGTAAAATTATAAACAAAATATAGTGTGTTTCTACTATCACCCAACTTTCTTTTTTATTCAGCCACTTTAGCAGCTAATTGGTAAATTAATTCAAAATAAAACAAAACAGCACAAAATTAAACCGTGAACAGTTTAAATTTAAGCAGAATCCGATCCTGTTCTAAACGCTTACGAAGCAACTTAGGTTAAGTTTGCTGTTCAGTTAAAATACCGTATTTCTGCCACTGAAAAGCCGCTACTACCAGTTGACTTCACACCTGGTATGATACGAAGAGATGGTACGTGAGTAAAAACAAACTGTCACATTTTTACTTTATTTTGTGAAGTGTCTTTCGGTAGTGTGAGTGTATAACCTTATAAAGTCAATTATTTCAATGTATTAGTGAAGGTACAGTGTATTTTTGTGTTACATTAGGAAAAAACATGTATATGAAGTAAGGAGTCTATATGGTTAGAGCTTACTTTTTGTCAGGGGAAAACGATGTTGTTGCAAGAAGACGATATCAAATGGATTATATCAAGCTATAAGTAAAGAATAAGAAAATGTTTTTCAACATTTATGAGATTGTGGGAGTTTTGAACGCCAACGCACTAATGTTGGACTGGGACAAACTCAAAGCGTGGGTAACTTAGAACTTTTAAACACAGTGGAAGACGATTTTGGTACCAGTACTCGAATATTAACCGCAAAATTTCAAGTATGTCATATGCTACAAAAATTAGATGAGTAAACAGATGTTATTTTTATTTTTGTGTTTTTCATTTACCATTATTTATTTATTACAAGTTTTCTGTTACATTACTTGTTGGTATTGTTTCATAGTTTGTTATTTAAGGGATTTAAATTAAATTTTCGTTTATTTTCTTAAGATGATAGGTCTCGTGGTGAAAATTTGCTTTTTAATAATGTTTCTCTTAAATTATGTGACTTGTGTATGCAGTATGCACTGTAATTAATGGGCTCCGTTGTTTGAGGTCACACTGGCCTATCCAGTGGCGGAATATGAAAGTTAGTAAAAAAAAAGTTGAAAAAAAATTTCAGTTTTACGAAAGAATTTGAGAAAACAAACCTATGATACGTGCTTCTAAAGGTCAAAGGCTACCTCCGTGTAAATATGATCTCTATTCAAAGTTAAACTCTGTTTACAAACAAAAATAAAATAAAGAAAAAATATTCCTGTGACATTTTATTCACAAAAAAAAAGTGTACTTTTCATGCAACATATGTTATTTGTAGAATTTTTGCCTCCTGATTACGAATCCAGTGTCAGAATTGACCACAGGAATATCTTAACCTCAAAAAACAGGTCAAAAATAGCAGAAATTCACGAAAAAGTGATAAGAAAAATACAAACATTTTTTTTCTGTATTCAAATGTTCATTTATATGGTTAAGACCACGCCGAACATGAATCTGCGGTCAGAACTGATGGTTCTTTTTCTAACCTAAAAAAATGGGTCAATTAAGGTCAGATATCAGGAATTTTCAAAAAATAAAAAATTCGTTCCAAATTTGATATAAGCGGGTTTTCGGGGTCACTGAACACGGATCCGAGGTCAAGTTTGCAAAATTCAAAATGGCGAATCCAAGATGACCGACTAAATTTTCAAAAAATTACAGATTCACTCCAAATTTGGTATATGGGGGTGTTTGGGGCCACTGATCACGGATCCGAGGTCAATTTTGCAAAATTCAAAATGGCGATTCCAAGATGGCTGACCAAATTTTCAAAAAATAACAGATTCTCTCCAAATTTGGTATATGGGCGTTTTCGGGGTCACTGATCATGGATCCAGGATCAGTTTTGCAAAATTTAAAATGGCGAATCCAAGACGGCCGAGCAAATTTTCGAAAAATAACGTTAGCGCCAAATTTGGTATATGGGGATTTTCAGGGTCACTGATCACGGATTCAGGGTCAATTTTGTAAAATTCAAAATGGCGAATCCAAGATGGCCGACCAAATTTTCCGAATATAACGTTCGCGCCAAATTTGATATATGTGGGGTTTTCGGGGTAGCTGATCACGGATCCGTGGCGAATTCAAGATGGCCGACCAAATTTTCCAAAAATAACAGATTCACTCCAAATACGGTATATGGGGGTTTTCCGGGTCACTGATCACAGATCCGAGGTCAATTTTGCAAAATTCAAGATGGCGGATAGAAGATGGCCAACCAAATTTTCAAAATATAATACATTCGCGTCAAATTTGGTATTCGTAGGTTTTCGGGGGCTCTGAAGGTCAGAATTGCGAAATTCATTTTGTAATATTTTCAGAATTCAATTTTTAGGTTTGTACCGAACCAACCAATAATTGTATGTCACCGATACGCAACAAATCCACCTATCTACCTATTTAGGAGCACTTACCGAATTCGTCCAACCAATCGCTGACCTCCTGCGACGTGAATTTCAGTCTCGTATCATTCTTGATACTGATTAAGGCTCTCGGATGGAAGGGGTACATGAAGTCCATCTTGTTCAGCTTGATCTTGATCGACAGGTTCTGCAGCACGCTCAACAAGTTCAGCATGAACCCGTCGCCGGCCAACGACCTCTCCTCCATCTGAAGCTGAGATCTCTTTTCGTTGTACTTTAACAGTTGCGCTAAGTAGTTCAGGCAGACGTCCCGGCTCTCCTGGTTGGCCATCATGAAGTGGAAAATCCTCGTCTGGCTGGCCCTCGTGTTTTCCAGCTCCAGCTGCAGCGTCTGGATCAGGCTCTTGTCGCTCGACGAGTTGCCGGAGAAGAATTTTTCCGCCACTTTCGGCTCGTCTTCAGCGAAAACCGATATGGAGAGGAAGGGGCCCAGGAACGACGAGCGCATCATCTCCCGGCCCTGCGCCGGCGTGCATGGCTCCGGCATGAACTGCATCTGCTTTGTTATCAACGTGCAGATCGGGCGGGAGCCGCAACGTATGTCCGCCAGCTCGTACAGGGTTTGGATGGGTATCCTGTGCTCGTCCCCGACTATACTCGCCGTCTGCATCATCTTGAACAAGCTCTGCAGGATCGGACTGAAAACGTTGGAGAACAGTCCCTCGTTCGCGTGCGTCCTGGTCACCAGCTCAGTTAGGAACCCCCTGGGCATGCTCTGTTGCAAAATTGGAGGCAGTAAAGGAGATTTACTGACGTCTTCGTTCGGTACGATGTACCCCTGCACCAGAAGAGTTGTGTAGTGGATTATCTGCGCTCTAAGTTCCGTCAATACGTCGATCAGTGGAGGAATGCTGGATTTTTTCGGGTGATTCCGCTCCTCCACGCTAACCCTATTATAAGAGTCCATCAGGAAGTTCAAGGCTAGTGTCAGCGGTGTGTCATTGTTCTCTTTCGTGACCTTCATCGTCAGCAAGGGTATCGGGCATACTCCAACGGGGCTAGGCGACGGGCTTAGATTCTGCGTGGGGCTTGCCGAAAACGAACCGACGCTAGTCGTCTCGCAAGTGTCCATGACGGCGTTTAAGTTTTTAAAGGGATCGCCACCGTTCGCTATCTGCGACAAGACTTCCATGATGGCGTTGGAGGTTAAGTCACGAATTGACATGTGTGGGTTCTGTTTCATCTGATCCGCCGTTTCCGGCAGATACAGATGCTTCTCGGAGGGCTGTTTGAAGGTGGAATGCAAGACCCTCCCGACTGTGGATTGTAGCTGCTCTTCGGTTAGCTCGGTCGACGATGACGTCGTTCGTTGCCTTTGTACGTCTTTCTTCAGGGTGTCTGACTCATCCACCTTAACAAAAAGTAATATCTTGTTTACAAGAACAACAATCGCTTGTTGTACCAAATACGATACGTGCTAGTAATCGTCGGTGACCCAGTGTTGGCCACGTTTAACACATTTTATTTGATATTTCCAATTTTTTCAAGCGATAGAACAATATTCAAATAGTGACGGACATAATTCTTGTGTTTGCAAAGTTACCACCGTGCACTAGAGCTCAATGTTTTGCCGTAATTGAATTCATTATCTGAGAAATGAAACATTTCGAAAAAATATTTATTCTACACATTTTATAAAGTATAGAATAGTATAAGAACATATGCTATTATTCTACGAGTAGTATCCATCATAGCTGTAGAATATTATGTGTCTATGTAGCTCTCGTAGTAATAAAGTAGTTCAATAAAAACATAAAATTCGTCGGTAATATAAAGTTGTAAAAAGAAATTTTTAATTAACAATACTGCGATCACAATAAAAAAAAGTGAATGTCCAATACTTGTCATTTTTGTGTGTACACATGCTGCAAGTGACCCGTTTTTAAGTACAACGTCAATAGCGCCGTCCTGACGCTACCCGGGACGCAACAGGGTTCCAAAGAAAAGGTTGGCAGATTGACGCCAAGGACCAGGTACTTCTGCGAGCGACTCCACACCACGAGGGACTCTCCAGCGGACACTCGCCCCGATAACACGTCTTTTTTCACAAACTCAGTTTTTCAATAAAAATATTTAATTTTTACCGTTGAGAGTGCGTTTTATTTTTGCTGTACAGCGAAAGCAACCCTTTTTTAACAAACAAACAACAATGGTACTATCGATTTACCGATTCTTTGCTATTACTGGGATAGAGAGATGACGACTAATCGATCATTTGTACAAACAATATATACAATAACAGGATATTAAAGGAACATATTACTTTTGAAAAAGACAAAAAAACGGAGAATAAAATTACTAAAGAATTGATAAATATACGGCAAATGGGTACGAGCTTGTAAAACTGCAAAGAAAACATTTACGTGTTGCTTTGCATTGATTAAATGGGTTTTAAATTCATCATTTTAATAATTTACTGTAGTTGCATTTGGTGAGGCGTACATTACGATAATTTGTACAAACAAAAAGTTTTTGTAACAATCATTTGTACGAAATGCAATATTTGAATAAAATATTTCTACGATACAAATTTTCTGATTTAAAAAGTCTATAATGGTGCAAATTGTATAAAGCAAATATATTTAAGGTGAACTTAACAGCATAAGATGCAGAAAAAACGATGTAATTTCAAAGCTAGAAAAAATGGTACATTATCGGAGAGAAATATGCTCAAAAACGCAGAACTCTACAATTAATTTTTCACATTTAACATAAAAAACAAGAAAAAATGAATGCAATCAGTCTGTTTTTTTTGTTACATTTTGTTGGTCATTCTCTGTTGCCAGATGTCGTAAATAGAATAAATGTTATTCAAAGTTTAAAATCTTTTCCGTTTGAAGATAACATTCATTCGTAAAAATGGCACCTTTAAATTAGTCGACAAACAAAATTAATGACCGGCACAACTTGACACATTCATTAACCTAAAGCTACAATCATGCTATCCTTACCTCCATATTCTCGAATCCAGAATCGATGTCCGTATTCGCCCCCACCTTATCGGCGCACCCGCTGACCTCGTCCACCTCCATGTGGATGGAACTCGTCTCCGAATCGCTGCGTTGCGGGGGTGCCCTCGACCTGCCCTTGGAGCTGGAAGGCATGTGAATGTCAATGGGCTTGCTAGGTTCCTTGAAAATGCCGTCGGATTTCAGTTGTTCGTGTTCGTTTGGTTCCAAGTTGTCAATCAGCGTCTTGCCCATGTCGGAGAAGCATTTCTCTTCCGTGGGCGTGCTCTGGGTCTCGAAGGCCAGAGGACTCTGGTTCCGGTTTATTCCCGGCGATTGCGAGATGGGGGTTACCGGAGGGGACACCGAACTGGACGGGGAAGTGTTTTCACGAGCTGTCAGACGAGCTAAACGTCTTCTGCGGATCTAAAATGAATGACGATTAGAGAAAAAACGAAACGATGTATTTTAAAAATGTAAACAAATAAATGAAACACTGATAATGTATGAGTGAATAAAATGACAATAAAACTTAAGTGTTATAAATTAAAATTTGACTTTATTGCCCTAAGAATTTGAAATTTATAATAATAGATAAAAAAAATGGGAAAACAAATAATGAATAAAAATCTTCTGGGGTAATTACAGGACAAATTTGTCTTTGTATAAGAACACTATTGTCTTCAACGCCTATTGTACACAAAGGATAAATTTTTTTACACCACGCTTACGATTTGCAAGGCTAAAGCCAGTCCCAGTTCAATTAGCAACAATGAGTTAGGCAGATTGAAAAACTTCCCGTGCAAACTCGACAAAAAATAACCCTACTCACCTCTTCTTGACTCAATTCGCTCATGTTTTCTCGATTTCTAGTACCTTTCTACGGGCGTTCAGCAAAAATTTCCCTTAATTTAGCAAAACACGTCGAAATAATCACTATACGATTTTACAGACGTCAAAGTAATGTCAGTCACCCCTTTAACAGCTGAGTTTATTAAATGACATTAGAATATTAGCAAAATCACCTCGAAGTTCTTTGTTTTGTCACCGTCTAACCTCAAATCCAAACTCGATATTTTGTCTTTTACGGCATCCTTGTCTAGCTCATTCGGATTGATCGGCGTGTTTCGCTTTTTGCCAGACTCGTCGGTTGGCTACGTTGACACATCGTAAAATAATATCTATGTTCGGGATCACACAATTTCTCTCACCATGGAATAATAAAGACAATAACGTAAACGTACATTACTTTTTAAATAAGACAAATTTATTCTCGTTGATAAATAATCAATATTGGAAGCGAAGGAATTGAAATTTTGTGCGATGAAACAGTATCGAGATCTACGGATTTGAAAAATTAAAACGAAATGTGGCAACGTCCCAAATTTGCGCACGCATCGTATTTTTCCTTGATCTAGGAAATATAGAAACGCATATCTATTTTAAAATTATATGAACTTGGCCGCTAAGTTTCTTTGTACGCAAATGTTATTTTTAAGGTTCGTAGTATTTACGTTTTCGTAATAAAACGAAAAGGTAACATCGCACATGTTTGTCTGTCTCTGCTCCATCGCCCCGAACAAAACAAAAAACAATGCAAGTCATTGGTCACAACGTTGTAAATAAATCTAAAACTGTGTAGGTACTTTTATTTGCACAGGATTTTTTAGATTTCTGAGCCAAAATGTTTTGGAAAGCTTCATGTTTAATTATTTAAATAGGCACCTACTAATTATTTCCGTGTTGAAAATAGAGATAGAACCCCATGAACTTTGTGTTTATATTAAACCATAAATTTTTAATTTAAAAATAATGCCTATATGAATTTACGCCTGATCATCTCGTAATAAATTATAAATATTTTTAATCATCAGATACTGTTGATTGAAACATATTTTCGTATTCTTTAACGATTAGATATATAACTAGGTATAGATTGATGGATATATGAATAAATAGCTATTTATGATATACGTGTTAAAAGTAATTTACTTTTAACACGCGTGTCAAAAAATGACATTTTTAACATCAAAAATGACAATTAAAAAGCCCACTTTTAACAGTTTTGTAGAAAAACTATTTTTTCTACAAAACTGTTAAAAGTGGGCTTTTTAATTGTCATTTTTGATGTCATTTTTTGACACGCGTGTTAAAAGTCAGTTACTTTTAACACTAGTGTTAAAAGTACTGGTTGCTACGAAAATTTTGGTTCATAAACACTGCGATCTGTGTGGTATTTTTTGATTTCTTATTTTTATTGAGTTTAGTTCTTCCGATTGTTTTGTAGAAAAAATAGTGTATGATATACGTGTTAAAAGTGATTTTATTTTGTTCGTGAAGTTAAAAAACTCGCTACGCTCGTTTTTTAATCATCTTCACTCACAAAATAAAATGCCACTTTTAACACTTGTATCATAAATAACTATTTTGTACAAATGGTAGTCACTTAGGTAGGTACCAAAAATGACTAAACCAGTCACTTGGTCGAGTGAGCCGTAGAATTAGTAGGTATATTTAAAATGATAAATTTTTTCTTATACATTTCTATAATTTCATTAAATTCATTATTTACAGTTTTTCTTTCTTAAATATGATCGATTGTGTTGGTAATTGCTTTAAAATTTTGCAAATAATGGTTAAAGGTATGCGAAATAATGTAATTTTATTAAAATTTGGTATGTAAGACACTCAACCAAAATAAGGCAGTTATTATGTATCAAAATGTACAAAAACAGTTTAGAAATATGCAATAAGCATAACGAAAGACTAATTCAAAGAAATTTAATTTTGAAATTTCGAAAATAACGATAAATGCCCAATCATATTTTCAGTAAAGAATAACGTCGAAATCGCGTCATTATTAAGCAGCGTTCGGAATTGACATTTGGATGCTCTGGACGTTTTCTATCCTTTTTTAATTGCAACATTGACAAAGAAATATATCTAGATGTTAATGTCGAACGCTACTACTGTTTTCATTAAAATTAGAAGTTGTATACGAATAGGCAACCTTAAATACAGCTCTTATTACTATAAATTATATATGCTAAAGTATAGTAATTTCCGTCTCATGTTAGGCAACTTTAAATACATTGACTTGTTTATAGGATTGCCTATACAAACTAGAAATCAAATATTTCGAACCGAATTGTGCAAAAGCCCAAAGGGAAACTAACGTGAACCAATCTATCGAAAAAAGTAATCTTATTAAACTGGTTCTGTCGCTCGAGGCTTTCACATACTTCAAAACCTATTTCACAAACCACTTTCACAATGTGGGATTTTATACAGGCCGTTTATTAAGTACTTGTACAGACTTTAAAGGGTGAATCTTTTACTAATTTTAAGAAAAAAATTCATATGAAGATGGGTCCGCAACAGCTTGGTTCTTGAGATACAGAGCGTTTAAAAAAGATTTTTTTCAGCAATTATTGTAAACGTTATTAACTTATTTGTGGAAGTAGTTTAGTCTTAGTCTTGTAAATGATTTAAGTTTGTTACATCGCAAAACAATCAATAAATTACATTTTTTTCACTTGTTTTTCAAAAAATCTTAAAGATTCAACTCAAAAATTCCAACCCAGGTTTAACTTTAAACCCGTTTTTTTACAAAAGTTTACTCAAAAATGACCTACAGTGCGACACAAAAAAGATATGGTTATTTAAGAGCAGGGTTCTACAGCAAATAGGCAAGCAGCAATAAATTTTATTACACAGTTAGTCTAAATATGAATTAATGCACAAATAACAGACTTTCCTCCATTCTAACGCAGGTTTTCTGTAAAATGAAGTTAGTTTGAAACTAAAATTACTGTTTGTTGAAATTTGTAATTTATGATGCAAATTACAAATTTCCTTACACCAAAAAGGAATTTGAGTTTCAAACAAAGTCCATTTTATAGGAAATCTGCGTTAAAATGGAGGAAAGTCTGTTATTTGTGCATTAATTCACGTTTCGACAAACCGTGTAATAAAATCTATAAAAACGTATTGCTGGTTGTCTATCTGCTATAGAGCCCTCTTAAATCTAGATACAGCACTGTATGTTGCGCCCATTAACATTAAACAAAAAACTAAGAAATGAGTTTCCCAAATTGTCATATTTTCTTGAAAATAGGCACAATACCAAAAAATTTTTCTCAAGAAACCGAACCGTTGCGAACCCATGTTTGTATGAACTTTTTATTTTAAAATTAGTCAATTTACCCTTTAAAGTTTGTACAAGTACTTAAACACCCAGTATAATGCAGTTTAAAAGTTTTTTTGGTTATTTTAATTGAAAATGGTTTGTTAAAATTGCGAATTCGGAACCTCTGTCCATTTTCTCCCATAAAAATTCTGCATCCAAGGTATTATCTAATTAATCATAAAAAAACACCACTTTCCTATCGTTAAACTAATATTGGCCCTAGTTATCAGCTAATTGGTTTTCAAGTACCCGCTAATTTCTGGCAATTAATGATAACGCTACCGATCTCCGAATAAAACCCAAAATAATCCTCAATACATTTATTGAAAAAATAATAAAATTAGGAAGAATGACTTTATCCTTACGCATCACATAAATCTGCCAATACACGCAAAAAATATCACCAAAAAAAAAAAAATACTTGTAATGTTGCGTATATCGGCAGCGCTACAAACTCCTCATTGCTTCACGGGCTAAAATAAAATGGAAAACAGTGTTTTAAAAGCAAAACGGGAGACAAACGAAAATCAATCGGAATTACACGAATTCCCAAGCTAATGCGAGCTGGAGAAATAATCCTTACTGCCGTTGGGGTCGGGCTTCATGGTCTTCTGGCCGGGCTTCCAGCCAGCCGGGCACACCTCCCCGTGTTCGTCGGTAAACTGGAAGGCCTGGACGAGACGCAGGGTCTCGTCTACCGACCTGCCGACGGGCAAGTCGTTGATGGTGATCTGCCTCAGGATACCCTTGCCGTCGATGATGAACAAACCGCGGAACGGCACGCCCGTTTCCTCGTCTAGAACGCCGTACGCCTTAGCGATGGCCCCGGATTTGTCGGCGAGCAAGGGAATCCCCATTTCGCCGAGACCGCCCTGTTTTCTTGGGGTGTTGACCCAGGCCAGATGGGTGAACTGGCTGTCCGTAGAGCAGGCCACCACCGAGCACTTGATTTTCTTGAATTCCTCGAAGCGATCGGAGAAAGCGATGATCTCGGTCGGGCAGACGAAAGTGAAGTCGAGCGGGTAGAAGAAGAAGACTACGTATTGGCCTTTGTAGTCTTCCAGGGAGATTTCCTTGAACATGCCGTCTACGACGGCGGTGCCCTTGAAGATCGGGGCGGGTTTTTGTAAGCTTGGTACTGGCATGGTTACCTGCAATATGAAAAAAGTCGCTATTTATTTACGAGCGGGCGAATTCTTGTATAGTACTACAACCAGTCAATGAGTGTGTGTGAGATATAACCTATAAAGTATATGTCATATCTTAAATGTCTACTCAGTGCCTACTAACACAAAGCGCTGCTTTGGCACAAAACTTTTTAATTAATGATGTTGTGGCATACTGATGAGAACTAAGTTCAAAACTGGTCTACATCAAGTGGTTCTATTCACGAATGATCTTAGCATGGGGCTTGTAATAATGATTTCCCACATAATGAGAATTTAATTAGTTTGAAACTGGTCTGTGGCTGTCGATTCCTTCGACAAATGATCCTAGCTATTCACTGGATAGCCCACAGCGTATGCTTCCCACAATATCATTGTCATTAAGATAACAAGCATAATAAAATAAAATTGTAGAAGACTAGAATGCAATTTAAAAAGAACCAAAAAATAATTAAAAAATAGAAGCTATCTTAAGTAAAATGTGGAAATAGTAAGATATAATGGCTATTTTTATGTTATGTTCACTGTTAGACAAGTGTTTTTGTATAATCCTTAAGCTGTTCTAGACATATATAGAAGTAAATCCTCTAACTGCTACAAACGTTTATAGATGCCAGATTTTTTAAATAGTTTTTAACAGTTTAAGTTTTTAAAGCTTCTAATTTAATCGTTACGCTAAAATAAAAGAACTGATGATAAATTAGAATATATTAAAAACTGTTATCTACACTTCTTTTTCATCACATTATATAATATTATATTATACAGGGTGTAACGGATGCTGATGGCCAAACTTCAGGGGGTTATTATAAAAGTAATTTTCAACAAAAAAGTATTATAAGTTGATAGTTGTTCTATTTAACATTTTTTGATTTCAAAAAATGTTGTGCCTTTTTTCATAGAAACAAAAATATCACTGTTATTCTTACAGTCACATCAAATTTAGTAAGTAGTAAATAAAGTACTATAAAGTTTGTGTCTCTTTGATTTTTACGGTTTTATAACCTTTGCCCTTGATATTGTTGCCAAAAAAATAGCAAACTCAAAAGTTGATATATCGTTGAAAAGCTTACTAAATAATTTTTGTTGAAGAAAAAACACGTCCTCATTAACAAATTTTTGGCGTAACCACCAATAAGGAGATACCACAAAATTTGCTCATTTCACAATTATTGTTGAGTTTTGTCAACATTTAAGTTCAATCTATTAGCAATAAACTAGTGCCTTTATCAGTGGCAGCGTATTCACTGAATCCACTGCGAGTTTAATTAAGTTATTATTTGACGTTAAAGCGATAGTATCATCGGCAAATAAAATAAAATCAGTAGTTATATCACAATTTGGGAAATCATTGATGTAGATAAGAAATAGAATAGGGCCCAATACTGAGCCTTGGGGAACTCCATGAACTATTTTTGTTAGGTGTGAAGAACAAGAATTATAAAAAACATACTGAGTTCTGTTCGATAGATAAGACTCAATAAGGGACACGCTATTGTCATCAAAATTGTAAAATTTTAGTTTATTTAAGAGAATTCTGTGGGACACACAGTCAAATGCCTTAGTCAAATCGTAAAAATTTCCACTGACAACATTGTTTGATTCGAAATTGTTTAAAATAATTGTAGTCAACTGGTTAATAGCTAAAGTTGTTGACCTTTTGTTCCTAAAACCGTATTGACTAGAATGGAATAAATTATTGTTTTCAAAATACTCTGCAATTTGCATTTTTAAGGCAGTTTCGAAAACCTTTGCCAGAACGGGAACAAGAGATATTGGTCGGTAATTAGATACATCATCTTTCTCACCTTTCTTAAAAACAGGAATAACCTTGGATAACTTGAAAGCTGTAGGAAATACGTTGGAGCTAATACATTGATTAATTAGTTTAAATAGTAAAAAAATTATAATGTTTTTAAGAGTTTCCAAGATTAGAACATTCAAATCGTAAGCATCTTTGTTTTTTTTACTTTTAAGTTATTTAAAATAGTTCTTCCTTCATTAAAAGACAACTCTCTGAATTTAAAAGTCGTTTGTGACCTCGGGGCAATCAAAAACTCGGAAGGTAACTTGTTGGGAAGCGGGAGCTCACTCAAAAGACGCTCTGCAATATTGGAAAAATAAGTATTAAAGTCATTAGTGTTTAATGAATCGCTTACAGGTGAACTGCGGTCATTTTTATTTTTTATGAGGTTCCACACTGCTGCTCGTTTATTTATTAATAGATGTATTTATATAGTTGTCGTTGGCGCTTTTTTTGGCTTTAGATAATTCCAGACTATACTTATTGCGATACGAATTATTGAAGGTTTTATAAGAAAGACTCCCCTTAAAATTCACCAAAGAACACGAGGTTTCATTTTTGGTCACCATTTGTGAATCACCCTGTAGGCTGTTCCCGAAAAGCAAAACTCATCACTAAGCAATGATGACACAGTACTTTCAAATTACAAATTCATTAAAATCAACCCACATTATCATTTTAGTAAATTGATATCTTGTTGAAGTGTAATTTCTTTAATTTAAAATATACATATTAACATTAAACGACCTTGATTATTTAAATTAATGTTTTAACTTTCACTTGATCTTGTTTCATTCTAAAATTCAAAGGAATTTCTCATCATGAATATGTACATTTATAATTATAATAATGGTATAAAAAATTAGGGTAAAAGACATTTTTCACTAACAAAAATTTTAATTGGAAGAAAAGAGAAATAGTAATTAATCCATAATCAAATTAAAAAAAAAACTATTACATGAAGCCAGTAGACCTGTCGCAAAATTAAATACAAAACTACACCTCACAAGTTTTCAAAGGCTAAGCTGTAGTGATAATATCAAATTAGAAAGCGACTTTCAAGTATTACTGCAAACAAGTGTATGTTTATAAGAGCTAGTGAACGTCAAAGTAATTTTATTTTTTTATTCGACACCTACAAAACTGCTGGTAATGCTCCATTATTTCCCAGTTGTTATCAGAATTATCTAGACGTTCGGATTACTAATTCTGAATAATTATCAATTGTGTAAATTGATTAAAAACTGTCTAGCGATGATATATTACTAGTTTACCATTATTCTTACGGAATACAAAAATTAATAAACAAATGCTAGGTACGAGTCATATTTATGGATCAAGCATAAAAATTTAACAAAAGCATTATAATAATACATTGCCAGAGATGAAGTGTAGAGCAAATATTTTATATGACATTGTTAATATTTTAATTTGGGCCATAAATCAATTTGAAAAGCCTTATTTCGGTAAAAATATAGATTAATAAGATAAAATTTTATTTACTTATTGTAACGATATTGATACCTCTTTTTTTATTTTAATGTAATGAACCTACTGCATAAAAAAACATAAAAATGTACCCATACTGCAAATTTTAAGTCAAAACTGATAAGCTCCTTTTAAATCACCCATACAACTCGTAAATAGTGGAATCTTGTATAAAAAGACTTAACGACTATTACAATAACGTAAGTAGGTACGAAGAATAAAGAATTATTTACGTAAGTATTAATAAAAAGTTGACAAGGCCACTTAATGGATGGCCACTTCCATTATGATTAATTCATGATGCGGACTTTGTAAGAACTATTAACATTCAAAATGCAGGTGCTCCAATTATGGGGTCAGCCATTATCGCCAATTAAACTGACCGGATATCACATTTTTATCGTTTGCCCTGTTCTTTAATAAATGAAAGTATCAATATTTAAAAACATGCTAAATAATTCCACCGAAGTAATTACAAAGTATTGCACAACTGTATGAGTAACATAAAATGTTCCAATGTCACTTTGTTTACAATTATTTTCTGAATTAATTTGTGATATTTTAATTATGATATAAATTTAATTCATTACAGTGGATTGAGAGCAAGTTATGAAAATTATAAAGCATTCGTTGTTTTAAAGTAGGTCACTAACAAATAAATGTAATGTTTAAATTTAATATCAAAATAATACCTACATTGAAAAACTCCTGAAAATTTTCTTAGCTGACGAGTTTAAACAATAAAAATGGAATATAATTAAAATAATTGCCTATTGCAAACACATTTCATAATTACAAAACAACAATGCTTGCAACATTTGAAGTAAAATATCAATATTAATTTCTATACCTACATTTACCAATCTTTTACCTTCTATAATTCTAAAAAAATTAGCCTTGGGGATTGCTCGAGGCAAAGAAAAAACATCCTAAAATTAATTTTTTAAATTTTACATTTTTTTTTGTTAAAGAAACAAAAGTAGGTCATGGAAGACCAGCAAATAGCAGGATATGGGAGGTTTTATAGTTTGTGTTTACCCTTGCCCCTTGGTTTTCTAAAGATACCCACAACTAGGTATATTTTTATCTATATATCTATGGGTAAAAGTTATGTTCATTAAATGTATAGTACTGGAAATAGAAAACTAACCTTTTTACACGGCCTACATCTAGTTTTTCCAATTTGTTCATAAAATTTATTTCGTCGGCAAATGAACCTAATAATTAAGGATAAAATATGTTCCCAATATCAACACAGCTTTAATACCTTTTTATCCCCATTTTTACAAATCTGTTTTTTAATTTACAACAAAAACTGTACGCAAGAATTGTCAAAAAAATACATTCCTGTGATCATAAATAGTAGGCCAATATGTCAGCTAACAAACGCTTTTGTTTCAAGACCATTTTTTATGGCCCTACCTAGGTAGGTAAGATCAGGTAACGATAAGGAAATAAACGTGTCAATTCCTACTTCATCTTAGAAAGCAGTAAACTCCATTATTAGACAGATATAAGCATGATTTAGACAATAAATACAAATAAAAAACAATACAATACTTACGACTGCACGAAGACTCGATCAAAAGTTGAGCCACAAAAGCAAATGGTTATGAAAATGAGGATTTCCGTTATCCTACGAGCACACGTTTAAAAGCCGGTTTCTCAAATCACCGATAAAAGCGGAATAAATTCCAGAAGCGGCGTTGTTTTAGCGCGACAGTAGAAGCAGCCTTTTCAACTCACATCACGAAAACTAGGATTTACGCAGATGACGTCATAGATTTCGATCGGCGGTTGAAACCAGTTGCGTTTTGAATTTGAAGGGCAACAAAAAACAAATGAATTTTTGGACAGAACAAAATGATATTAAAATTTTAATAAAAGTGACAATGTGACGCTATATTTGATACTTGTAATTCATACACTTAGTCATTATTAAGCTTTATTCTATACGTGTGTGAAGTGAATTTGTGAAAGAATTAAAGCATTGGCTGTAGAGATGTAAGTATGCCATATATGCATTTCTTCAATCTATTTCTATTTGAATTGAACTTACTTTTTCAGCTTTTCTGAAAGGTTTCCGGTGAATTTTATGGTGCTGTGAAAGGGCACCAGATATAAACCAGGTCATTACGGTAAGTGACATATAAGTTTATGTTACACCATTTGCAATACCTGTTTTTACAAGTAAAATCGTTTGGAATAAAAACGATCTAAAACCTACAGTAAAATAATTGTATTTTGTCTAGTGTATATTTAGGATTATCGACATATCGTCACATGAAATAAATTGCTTTTAGAATTAATTTGAGATACATTTCGTTATCACATCTGTACTATTTTATTCATCAAAATTAATATTTCATAGTAATTGGTTTTCGTGGATTACTTTAAAAAATTGTTTTATCGACTTCCTAGACCTTGACAATTTAATCATCTAAAAACATGTAATTTTATTTAAATATTTGTTAATTAACTTTCAGTTACGTCATGTGCCGAATAAAAGAAATATACAGGGTAGCTTCCTAGTCAACTAATTAAGTCTTTATTACATATTTATTTACAGATATATAAAAACTACATCAAATATATTATTATACAGATGAAATAACAGATTTTCGTACAAATTGTAATCGTCTTTTCGTCATATTCCCTTAAAGTTTGTGTGAAAGACTAGATTTTAAAATTCACTCAGACAACTTTAGCAGAATACAAAAATAATTTATTCATTTACTAATTAATTAAAACGTTCAACATCAACCAAGCTTTTCTATAAGTTTCTCTAACAACTCGTTCTGAATTTTCATCTGTTGCACGATCTCACTTTGTTGTCTGGCTTTTCTCTCCTCGATTCTACGAGCCTCGTCCTGCCCCTCTATAGTTCTCTCCAAACAGTCCAGAATTTTTTCTTGCACCTCGTTCGTCTGCTTCAACAGTTGCGTGTTGATTTTGTTGTGCTTGACAAAGAACCTCTTCAAATCGCTCAGCTCTTCGATGAGCGCAGACTGACTCACATCTTGAACGACAGTATACGTGGGTTCGCTGTCTTCGTATTCATATTTTGGACTTTCTACGTCTTCGTCGATCATCGCGACATTTTTTATATCTACGTAGTCCGACTCCGCCAGCATTTTTTTGTCTTTGGAAAACCTGAAACAGAATTGGATATCTGTTAGCGTCATTTGGTGACACTACGTAGACGCTCACCCAGGTGGTTCATTTAAGTTTATTTTAAATAAGTCTTCCTGTCTTCTCAGCTCGTCGATTTTGACGGAATAAGACCGGGAGAAGCTGTCGTTTGGTCGTTTGCTCAGAATCTCGGCAACTTCACTGAAAATTCAAAGTTCGTTATATAAAAGAAATCAGTAAGGTTCTTAATCTTACTATTCGAAAGGACAGGCTCGTTTGGTTGTACCGAACTTCTGCATTCGTTCCAGCTTAGTTTTATACGACCGTTTAAGGGCCTTCCACTTATTCTCACACTGCGCCGCTGTGTAGTAATACTCTTTTTTTGCCAGTGCCTTCGAGGTCAGCTCCCACAATTTCTTCTGCGTTGAAATAATTCCTGTGTCTAGCATGTCACTTTTCTCATCGTAAATTTTCAAGAGTTCCTTCGTAGCATCGTAAGTCCACTCGACTCTGTGTTCTTCCTCTGGAAGATGGAATAAGTCTAACTGCTGGACGAGATTTAGGGAGTGTACTTACCAGTTATGTAGATGACATTTTGGTTAGATTCCAGCTCTGATACGTCCATTGGGGGTTTTTGAACTGAAGGATGATTACCAGTAGTTCAAATTTGATATCGAATTATTAACAGCGGGGGACGGAGTATATTTTCAAATTTAAAGGAATTACTCTACTCTGTCCTAAATAGACCTGACCAATTCTTGCACCAAATGGACAACTGTGTCCCACCAACTCGCTCCGGTGAAGTAAAAGAGTAACGTCGTGGCGAACTACGAACACGAACATGGCGTCGCGTTCTTTGACGTTTCTAGTTGTCTTACAATAATATCGTATGATGATACATTACTATATTAAAGAACATTAGAATTTGACATAAAATTTGTTTATAAAATTAAATATCTATAATTATCTGTAAATTTCAGTATTTTTGTATAATAATTTTTCAAGTCTGTGTAATTTTTGGACTTATCGTGACATCTATCGTCTAAAGCGTGAGCCTTAGTTGGTAAAATGCAGCGTTCACTGTAATATCGATGATGTACGTGCGGTCATATTCACCGCCAGATATAGATGTCACTAGGTGACATAGGGGACTTCGGAGATTTATTTTCCTGTAGTTTTTGAAAATTGTTGAAAAAAGTTCTCTTAGACAAATACTAGAGTGTAAATTCTGAAAATGCAATCAGATTTGGACAAGTTTGTGTGGCTTTTTCATTATAGACATGAAACAGCTTGTTTCGGGAAAAAATACTATTAGAAGTTTCTCTGCGGAATATTGTTCGGAAACCTGTTATATACAAAATATCAAAAAATCAACTCGAGGCTAGTTGGGAAACTTTGTTTTAACAGTGATCAAAGTTATGGAAAAGTGTTTTTTTGACTCGCGTAAAAAAACTATTACTCGTAGCGAAAAAAAGTTTATACAAAAAAGGTAAGTATTAAATAAGCCTAGAAAATGAGACAAGTCCGATTAAATTTCGATAATTTGTTTATGCGCAAGAACTCAAAATTGGTTGAAAATGGCCGTTTTTTTCAATTGCTAATAATTAATGCAATTTTCATCGCAGACATTTGTAATTCAGGATTTATGAGGATTTTTACACCCTTCTAATAGTATTTTCTTCCCGAAATAAGCTATAATGACTGGCCTAGAAAAGTAAAATGAGATGGAGGAATTGAATTTCTCGTACCAGATTTAATATTTTAATGTTAATGATCGGAAAATACAATTTTTGGAGAAAAAAAAAAATATCACTAGACCTAGACTGTCAATTTTTCCCCTCTAATCTTTGATTTGGGTGCTTTAATAGTAGCATTATTATACAGGGCGTCATAGAAGCAAGTGTCAAATTTTAACCACGCACCTATTTAAAAAATTTTTGCCCAAAATTTTTCGAAACCTCACATCCGCTGTTTTGTATCGAAAACAAAAACGGTGAATTAAATAAATGTCAAAATAGCGTATTTTAGCATAAAAACTAATACTAATTTTCATTTTTTGTTCTCTTGTGTCTTTTAAGTCGATTAAGCGTTTCAATTTATTCTCCAGTGGCGGGTAACAAAAAATTACGGTTTCAAAAAAATATGTTGTCTTAAAAACTGCAAGATTAAAAAAAAAAGTTAGGCAAATGTTTTGCTGATTTAAATGTGTGGTTCAAATACTGGCATTTATCTCTGTATTTAGGTATTTAAAAAATGTCGTTATTTTAAAGCTTTTATTATACTTTTTAAAATATCTCTTAAATAAAATGATATGTAGATTATAAATAAATAAAATAAATATTATAGTAACAATGTTTTATAAATGTACATAACTTAATTTAGCTATACAGCCTTTCCAGCCTCATTTTTCCTTTTGTAGAACAAAATATAAACTTTTAGAAAACAAAGAGTCTGAAAGGCTATACTGTAATATTCTATGCACTAAAAGCTACAACGTTCGTCTTAAAATTATCAATAGTTTTACATAAATCTACTAATCGGTCATTTAAAGAAGATTTCCAGACGCAGAAATTGATTAAATAACCTGTTTAACTTTTTTGCACATCGGACGAAACAAAACGCTTCAGTAGCCACGAAATTATTTTGTTCGGACTTGGTTTGATAGGTCCTTTATTGTATTTTCTATGAATTTTGTCTGTCTGGACGTGAGATTGTAGTAAAAAACCGGCCATATCCAATTTTAAAATAGGAAAACGTGCGTCTATTAGTTGTTTACGTTAAATCTCAAGTAATTGAGGATCCTTTACGTCTCTAAAATTTAAAATTCTACCATGTAAGCCTTAGAAAGGTATTTCACTTAATATTATTTATCAGTGATATACAGGGTGAGTTTGTTGATGTAACTGATCGTGGTGTGCACGTCACCAGGCTCAAATTTGTCCTGTCATGACGTCAGCAGAGAACTGCCCACTTTCGTTTTGACACAAATGGTAACTATTTATGTTAATCGTGATGCTAAGACGAAAAAAGCGCAATTTCCACATTACATCTGATACGAATCGTGTATAAAAAGTCAGTTTTGCGTGTGTAGTCTAAATGTAAATATAACCTTAAATATATTTTGTCAAGTTTGGATACTGACTTTAATTTAGAACGGGCGTTTTCTGGCATGTACGGGTACGGTTTTTAAATTAATTTTGCTCCCTATGGCGTAACCCATATGAGTAACTAAATTAGAGGGTTTTATTCTGTATCTTCTGTTGGCAGCAGTGGCAGAGTACGCCATCTGTTGTTACTGTGGCAAACGACACACTCGGAAACTACAGACCATAAAAATAATTAAGCAAACTGCATAGGAAAATACAATTAGAGTAACTTCCAATTCTACTGTCTAATAGATGTCGCTGCACCATAATGGCGGCAAATTTAAAACAATAAAATACACTGATGAATAAAAAGTATTTTAATGGTTTGTTGATAATTAAAGTTTAGGTGAACCATTGACAGCGGTTTCATGACCCACTACTTTATGAAACACTTTAAATAAAAAAAATGTACATGGACTCTTATTATAGTTTTTTTTAAATAAACCATTAAAAATTGCAATCAAAGAATTTTATTAAAGAATTATTAAGTAAAATAATATTACAGTTACTTGCCAAAAATTATTTCGAATTCGAAATAATGGTCATGTATCTTTCGTAAACCTTGGAAGCGTCTAGATTTATCAACTTCATAACACCACTATGTGGCTGAATTTTACTGTTTTATTTTGTGAAAATTTAATATTATTGTTATATAAAGCATTTCTTGTATTTTTAAGTAAATGAGGAACGTCAAAAGTGGGAATAATTTCCTCGCCACTAACATTAAAAATGGATTTATCTGATGACTCGGTAACTAACTGTCTGATAGCTGATCTGTTAGTCGAACCTTGATCACAGACTGTACAAATTATTTTGAGTCCACAAGGCTGCAATGCTGAAATTATTTCAATTAACAAAATTTTTAGGTCCTTTGTTTTTATAACGTCTTTTGTGGAATAAATACGGGATAGGTTGCTTCCAATGTTTACTAATACCTTGCACCAAAAGCACTAGAGCAGGATTTGCTACCTCATCCCGTTACTTGATCTTTACAAGTGTCATAATTTAGACCAACAGACAGAGCTATTTCATCACATACTAAACAACAAACTTTATCTCTTGTAATCATTTTACTAACACGTTCTGATAATTTACGTAACAACTTTTCATGTATTCCAACATCTAAAGGTATTTGGCCTAAATATTTCCTTATGGAAGATTTAGAGAGCAGCATAAAAAATTTCAATAAAAACCTGTAGCACCTTGGGCCGCGTTTGTAAATTGCTAAAGCAAGTGCTTTATTTTCTGAATTATAGATAGGTCATTTCTTACTCTTACTGGATCAAGATGTTGACTTAATTTTGTAAATAAATTAGAATAGGTAATACTACGAACAGACAAATTACTTTTACATACATACATATAGACAGTGCTTTTGCAATTTGGAGCACAACATTGACGTTTAATTCTAGCAGGTAAACTCATTTTGGGATAAAAAAAACGAATAAAATACAGTAAGGCTGTTCAGATGATTAATCGCTTATTACATTAATCTAAAACAAAACAAATTTATTAATGCACAAAACGTGACAACCTATCTGAATACTATAACCTCAAACATTCTATTTCTGTTGATTGAAAGATCGGAAATACAGATTCGATCTGTGGTTGCAGATTTCTGTTTAACAATTTCTATAAGGGACAATGTTTTGCCACAACAACGCGAGATGTCCTCAGTGAATGCATGTTCGGTCCGCCGGATCCGTATTGTCGATTTTTCCGTCTTTTCGATTTATCAGGACAAAAAACGATTTTGTTGTGACGCAAACGCGTCTTCTTTTCGAACAACCTCGAATAAACGCCGATACCCTCAGGCGCTCCTTAACAATCTATCAATTTCGATTTCTGTGATGTAACGGAGGCGTCCGAGATTCGCACGCACGGACGTTAAGGTAACCACCAGAAAATTACATGGGATACGCTCAAGACCGCGCAGATATATAATAAACAGAACCAACCGCGCGACCATTACACAAATCGCTGCCGGTCCAACGCCCTGCGTGCCCTTTCTGGTCGCCGTAGTCGTTGCCGCGGAGAGGGCCTTGGAAAAACGATTATTAGAGCAAAGGAGGCGGTTATGTGGAGTGGCCTATTTATAGAACGCGTTCAGAAATGCAAATCCCGCCGGGCGGGTCCTTGAAAGGTCGAATCGTGATCTAAACCGTATCGCCGCGCAGGACAGGACTTGGCAGAGCTGAGAAATAGTGCAAATTTCTGTCGGAAGCGTCAGTATCAAAAATAATAGTATATGCCTAAATGCCTAAACAATTACAGTCATCTAGCACCACGAGATATACATATAATAACAATAATAATAATATAGTTGACTTGCTCGTGTATGAGTGCCTTTAGCCCATCGAAATGTGTATGTACCCCTTTAACTCTTCCTTGTATGTCTCAATAAGGAAAACCCTGTTGAAATAGAATTGTTTTGTTTCATTTACTTAACAATGTAGGGAGAAACCTTCTTTAAATGATTGAAAACATTAAATTTAACGAACTATTTTCATAATAAACTTAAAAATTTGATATATACATTAAATAACGTTACATTGACAGAAAAAATACACATAATTTTTAATTTTAAATACCACTATATGTGCTTAACACTGTACATAAACACTATAATAATTTAAATGATTAAAATATTTAAATGTTCTACCACTATGTCTATAAATACGTCTTAGAAATAGAAATAGAAAGAATTGATCACAATTTAAGAATTATACATACAATTTGGTCCCTATTTAGAGGCATATTGTTAAGGATTCCGAATAATCACGTATAACTTACTCCCAAATGGTGTGACTATTGGAGCCTGACATTTTTTTTAATATCCGATGATTTCAGCGGATTCGTATTGTAACTGAGTCACGCCAGAAATTATAAATGTAAAGTAAATATTTATGTAATACCTCATTGCCCACGCAAAAACTCGCTGGAATATCATTAGTTTTATGTCTTAATTAAGTTTTGGGTTGCTCGAATAAGACCCCTCTTTTTGCCGAGCCATTGTCGATGTGTCTTTGTTATAGCTGTTTAACATTGACAATTTATTGATCAATTAATTCATGAAGTCTCTTCATCAAGAAATTGGACAAGTGTAATGCACCAAATCAGCTGTCAAATAACTTCATGAATTTATTCATCAAGTTCTTGACGAAGCATGTTCTAATTTTCATCAATTTCTTCGTGAAATTCGGAAGTACCAACCCAACAGATTTCCAGCCTCAGATCAGTAATGAGGTTATGTTATTGGAATATGTAAATAATTACATAATTATTTACAAATAACATATATATGAAAGTAACAAGAAAATGTAGATACCAAGTAATACTGTTCACAAAAAAATGCCTCATTTGTTTTTTTAGTTTTTTTAACCAACTAGCCATCGTAATTTATGATAAGGTTTGTATGTACAAGATCTGTATAATTTGTGACAGGTCATTCAATTAGGTAATGAGCATGACGACTTCCTTCGATAGGCAACTTGCATCAAAATAAATTTAATTTATTTTAGAACTGCATAAATTTAAATACGACAACTAACAGTGGTAAAACAATTAATTTGTTTAAAGCTATAAATTAGTTATATATGTTTAGAATTATGTAAAAGTTTAGACTTCGTGTCGAGCACGTATTGTGACGTCATTTAGTGCGACCGAGAGCACAACTTACTTCTCGCCATCTAGTCTGCAGTTCCTATGCCGTCTAAACCTAACCTAATCTAAAGCAAAAAAGAGTTTGTCCGTCTCTACCACTGACTCTCTCGAATCCGGATCGCACTAAATGACGTCACGAACTAGCGCGGCAGCGGACAAAAGTTTAAAACATTTGTTTTATGTACTAAATTTTAGTAATTAATTATTTATTAAGAATCTTTAAGAGATTTCTAATATTTTCATTGCGTGATGATTTAAAGATACAGATTATTTTTTGACATTTAAAAAAAATATGTGCAAGTTGCCTAATAGTGAAGAAACAGTAGCGGTCTTTAAGGGAGGGTGCAAGATCATTGTATTTATAGAATATTACCTAAAAAATAGGTGCAGATATCGCTAACAACATAACACTAGTGCCAACAAAAATGTACTGAATTTCCTAATTTTTTCGTTTAGTGACGTCATACACGTAAAATAAAATTTGAAATTAAATCAAAACCAAAAATATTCATTTTTAAGAAATAAATATTTCCATTTTCTTTGCGATTGGAGGGAATTACCCCATCGCGGTAGCAGATGATGCTTATCCACAAATTTTGACAATTTGTAGTCCGTTAGTACCTAGGAGGCATCGCGATCGATGTTGCAGATCCGATAAATTGTGGATTTATCATTATTATTATTACATTTATTATCTTTATTGTAACATTGTAAGTAACAAATTGCCTCTGTCTGTGGCTCGTGTTTTTAGATCTGACGACATCGACCGGTCTGCCATCTGTTAATGCGTAACCAAAACTCCCTTAAGTGCGCAAGAATGTCGAGAATCAGACTGTCTGCTTACATGACAGATCGCTACTCAGACAATTAAAGTGATGCTAAGTCATACTACAGCGTTTACAAAGGTACGAATAACCTCATCATAAATGAAACCAAAAGGTGATGACTTATTTGTTGAAATTTCCAGCATATGTATAAAAATAGTCTTTTAGTCGATCCGCATGAGTTCTATATATACATCGTATCCGGTCCGGTCTCAAACTTAGGGGTAAACGTTTTGCAAGACGTCACTGTACAACGCGTTGTAGGAGTCCCTAAGAACGAAGATATCCTCCGGTTTCCCGTTGAAGGTGAAAGTTCCCGGCAGCCGGTGGATCGTGGAGTCCCCCGAGGGCTTCTTCTGGGGCTTCTGGGGTTTGGGGGCGGGCGCCGGTGGCGGCGCTGGCGTCGGGAAAGCCGGGAAGGCCCCCGACCACTGGTAGATCGAGTTGGGCTTGCCGTTGGCCACGAAGGAGACGGGCAAGTTGACGAACTGCGACATCGCCGACGGAGTGGGTTGGGAGACGTACCCCAGGCCGGGCACGAACATGTACGGCTGTGGGGGCAGTCTTATGTAATATATGGGGGAGTTGTACTGTTGGGGGGTGATCCGTTTGGACGAGGGTATGGTGCGACTCAGGTCGTTCTCTTCCAGGGCCATGGAGACGTAGTCGTCGTTGTCTACTTCGTAGTTGCCGTAGTCTGCCTCCGGCTGGAGGTAGTCCAGGAAGGCTATGGACTTTCCGTTCCTCTCCGCGGGTTTGGCGTCGACTGGCGCGCCCCGCGGGATCCCTAGGAAGAGGCAGGTCGTCACAATTTGAAAAATCAGCTTCATCTGGAACAAAATACGTGTGTTAGAACGCTGTGTATGGAAGATACGCCTAGAATAGGTTCCTGGATTGGTCCAAGCGACTAATTTTGGAGGGTTTGAAGGTCGTATTTCAATTTTGGAATATTTCTACTCATAAAAATTTTATGTACAATTACACACTAGGTCATTGGTTATTTTGACGACACATAATGTAATGTAAAGTTATGGTAGGTATAAGTTATTTTAATCATGTCATTTTACACTTTTTCTGTAATTCACTGAAAATTTACAGATCAGTATACAGGGTTAGTCACTATTGTGAGTTATATTATCGAAATTACAAAAAAGTTTTTAATACAGAAGTTTTAGCTTTTTTATGAATTTTTGAATAATGGAAATCACTAAATTTAAGAATTTTTTTAATGGAACACTATATATTAGTGCATACTTGGTTTCGTTAAATGTTTCTTCAAAAATATATAATATGTTAGTGTTTGATTCAGGACTTTTCGACATATTTCAATTTAAAACCATTTGTGTTTTAGTTGGTTTTTATTAATTATGTATTAAAATTCTGTTAAAGTTAAGACTTTACTAAGAAAGAGGAAAACTACTTGGTATTTTCAAGGAAACTACCTAAAAAGTGTACACGTGTATAAGGAAGATATTCGAATCGTCCAATAAATAATAAACTTTCAGAAACATTGAAAGACGTATTCTGGCGTCCTATAAAAGTAAATATACTCTCAAACACGTATTTCTACTGGATTATTAGATTTACTGGCATTATTTTACTGGTATTATTATTAGATTTACTGGTATTATTAGATTTACATTTTTTTTGTACAAAAATTTCCACAACTGTTACAAGATAAAGTTGGTCCTGACTACCTTCAGGTAATTTATGATCATTCGAAGCAGATTTCGGTTATGTTTGCCCCCACACGTTAAACTGGTTCCGTTACTTCACAATTACGTCGGTAATTAATACATTTGGGGTCTCTGACCCTACGTACACCGGACCCGTTTAAACGATTAATAAACTTTTAATTATTTAATGTCAATTAACATATCAGTGAGATGAAACAAAACGGATCTATTCAGGTTCAATGATGTTACATCCATGGGCGTAGCTAAGGGGGAAGAGGCCCACCCCAGAAAGCCCGGTGTCAATTCCAGAAAAAAGATCTAATATTATCGTCTATCATATCGGCATATCGGTAAGTCGCTGACTGCGTGACCTTTTTTTAGAATGAAATCAAAACGTGTTCAGGTTTTTGAAATTTTATTCGGCAAGTTGCTGATTGCGAAAGTTTTTTTTTCTTAGAGGCTTCATAGAGCTTAAGCCATAGGCTACGCCCATGGTTACATCTGATTGAACAATATCGCACCGTTACAAGTGCGATCACAAGGAACTGTCGAAAATTTGTTCCAATTTGGCTTCAATTTGTTTACATTTGTCTGCTTCGTGCAACCTTTCGGACAGGTGCTTGTTTCTGAATTCCTATTAATTGTCTCACAACATTTTTTTCTCACTGGTATTTATGAAGTTGCAATTAGAATTGTGCGTCACACTGAGTCCAATTAAGCAGCTAGTTTTTGGTAAGTCGAGGAACGTGCGCTGTTAACTGGTGTCAAAGGACAAAAATATCGTCACGGGGTTGGTGTAAAAAAAACGAGTTGTCGCACAAGATGTCATAAAGACGTGTTAAGTGTTTCATTTTTAATGGCCTGTAACGGGAAAGGCAGGTCTAATGAGGCGAATTTTATCACTTCTTGCATTAGTAGGAGAATTGTATGTATACAGGATGTTCCTGAAAATTATTTTAAGAAAAAAGTTTCATGTGAACGTGGTTTGTTCTTTGATTGTAGACTGATGAAATTTAGCCACTGATTTATCCCAGTAGAGATAAAAATGAGTGCTCTGCGAATTTGATTAGTGCTTTTTATTACTGCTAAATTTTCTCAGAAAAAAAGATATCTATTTTCTTACAATTAGAACTTCTGAGTCTCCTAGTTGTAGTACCCCTCGTATCAACGCTACTGGTCGACATATTTGTAAGTCAACTTAGGAGGTTTTTGCTTCCACCTAGCTCTAGCTATGTCCTGTACAGATTTAGTTTCGCGCAACTCACTCGGTTTCAAAAATACAATACCTATGTACGTTTTCAGCCACGAAATTTGAATAATTCTAAATATTTCGAATTTTCACCCCCAAGAACGGCGGTGACAACATTTTTAAAATTATGGCGATGTTTCGCATGGTACTAGCTATGTCTTGTACAAATTTAGTTTCGCTCAACTCACTCGGTTTCAAAAATACAATACCTATGTACGTTTTTAGCCACGAAATGTGAATAATTCTAAATAATTCCAATTTTCACTCTCAAGAACGGCGGTGACAACATTTTTAAAATTATGGCGATGTTTCGCATGGTACTAGCAGCTAGTACCATGCGATGTACCTAGGTCCTAGGTCCAAATTTCATTTGTCTACATCGAACATCCTCAGAGATGTTTCAAATAATGAAATATTTATTTTTTAATATCAACACGACATGTCGAAAAAGAAACAAACTATGGCCTACGTTCATATAAACTACGTTCATATAAAACTGTTTGTTTAAACTAATTTGTTGTATTACCATTTTCAAAGAGCGCATACTTCAGAAACATCCCTTATAACGATCTTATAATTATTAGTCGAGTCAATGACCATCTTCCCGTATAATTTTGCCAAACAACACCGATTTTCATAAAAATTTGATTTAGGTTCTATTTACAGTCTACTTCAAAGTTGACCTTGTACCAGGGGTTGCTTTTACCCTGATGATGTTTCATTGAAAATAAATGGAATGGATATATTGACTTATTCCAAGCAACTTTCGTTCTATAAAGTTTTTTCTGAAAGTCAATACTTTTCGACTTATTCGCGAGTGAATGTGTAAATTTTTTATAACAAAAATCCCACTTTTTCAGACGGTTTTTCGCGAATAACTCATAAAATTAAGTATTTTATCAAAAAAATCATTCTTATAAAAAATGTAGCTAATCAAAAAACAAAAAGAATGGTGTGTTTATGGTGTCTGTAGACCCAATACAAGCGGAGTAATAGGCTTGTTGAAGGTTGGTTCTTACTCGTCAAACGCCAAAATTGAAATAACCAAAAACCAATACATTTTTCAAGGAATACTCATAGAACCTTTTTTAAAGTGCTTGAAAAAAAACCTTTATTTTTAATTTTTATAAAAGTCCCTAGCATCAAACCTAAGCGAGTTATGACGAAAATAAAGTTGGCCCGTATTGTTTTCGAAAACAAAAAACGTTAAAATCACCACCTAATTACCACCGCAATTGAAAATAATCGTTACCACTTTACAATTTAGTTTATTTATGTACTTGTAATATGCTCTAGAAGTTTGACCGGTTTAAAGTGCTTAGTTTTAATAAAAGTTGAGCTTGAAGTGAAAAGAGAATTTTTGTATTTTTGGAAAAAAGTCTTTTCTTCGAAATTTTGTATAATACAAAATTGTAGGTTTTGCTTTCTTGAAAATTTTGTTTTTTTTTTCTGTAGAATAAAAATTAAGTAAGATATGGCCGTTACAGTTTGCTTATGTTCGTAAATAGCAACTTGTTCAAGCCTTTTCAGCTCAAACCCTTACAAAAATAAGGGCTGAAAGAAAATTTAACTTGATTGCTCTTATAGCCCTTGAAAAAACCTACAAAATGGTTTTTTGAAGGGCTTGATAGCATAAAAACTAAGTGAATTATGGGCAAAAAACCAATCAATATTTTTGCGGATATCAGAACACGTATATTGAAGCATTGATGAAATTTGTTATAAAAATAAAAAAAATTAAAATCCATATAAAAATAAAATTCTTATTTTCCCTATTTTTGATTGCAAATTTTAATCAGTAGGGCTTTTTTGTTTAAGGTTTAATAAAATAAATACGCTACATTTTAAATAATAAAAAGATTGTATTATATTTTGAACTAAAAAAAAATGTTTACTATATTTCTTCAATTTTTTTTGCAAGTGGTGGTTTTTATAAGGGTTGAAACTTATAAATAAATAAACAAAAAAATTTAAATAGTAAAGATTAAATTATTCCAAGTCGCTGAATAATATTTTTCAACATTATATTTTAATGATTGCTGTCATAGGGGGTGGTTTTTAGGTATAGGTAATTTTCAATTCATCATAATTACTTATTTAAAGATGATTTCAACCTGTTACACACTCGAATCTACAATTCTATCATTATTTTCGAATAGGGGTAGTTTTTACCCCTAAAAAATAAAAAGCAACCCCTGACCCCTACAGTAACGTGAATTAATTTGCAACTTATTTTTTTGAACTGGTTTTAATATTATTTAATTTAAAAAGGCTCTTTTCTGCTTGTCGGGGTCTATATTCACAGCAAGTAACAAGTTTCAAAACCTTAATTTCCAAGAAATACGACAAAAACAAGAAAAGCCGACTTTTGACGGTTTTTTCGATATATCTCGAAAATCAATGTAGGAATCAATATATTTAAAAATACAAATCGATAGGTTTTTTTAATAGCTACAACTTTCTTATTTAACATGTAAGCATTTAAGCACATTTAACTTAGCCATTTATGCGCCACAGGGAAAAACACTATCTTTCTTAGATTTTTTTTCCATATCACCACATTTTTTGATTCCAGGTGGTATTTTTTGTAAGCTATTCTACTTATCGATTGGACTATTTGATATAAACGACAATCGCTTTTTTGATATCAGTTATCTTTTTATGATTTATGTTCATTTAATTCGATTTTTCATCCATATGCGATTCTACTGGAGTTTGGCGAATCTGACAATTTTAATGATGAGAGAAAACGCCGCTCATTACAATAATTCTACATTTGTTGATGTTATTAGAGGAGCACCGAAGCGGAAAACTTTCTTGCGACCAGCAAAAACGGGATGAATGAGGAATATTAATCGGAGGTACATTTAAGTAAAATAACTTATCCAGAAATAACGATGTGTAA